GGTTTTTAGCCTTTAAAAGTAGTATAGCGTGGTTCTACTAGTCCTAAGCTTCAATTTGGTGCAAAAATCATGAAAAACGGTTGAGAAACGAGTGAGAAAACAAAGTTAGAAGTTTTTCCAGTTTTCCGGCGCCGGCGACAGCACCGGAAACTGAACGGAGAAGGAGACGGAATATTCCGTCAATTCTGACGGAATATTCCTGACGCCGTTAACGGAATCTGTCAAAACTGATGGAATATTCCTAACGGCGTCAGTTGACGCCGTCCGTGTGCACCGCACGTGCCTGCGCGTGGCCGGCGCGTGGCGGCGCGTGCGGCGGTGAAATTTTTTTCTAAAAATATGGTTGTGATCCTGAGGTTGTGTAGAGCACGTTGGTATATTCAATTGTCCATTTTGAGCAATGTATGAGAAGTTATTACGAAAGGAAGGTTATGTGCTTTATAATTAATGTTTTTATAGTTATTCCGCATATAGGTGATTCCTATCCCGAGGACGAGCGTGCGCACTCGAGGCAGGGGGGCTACGACCCTTCCACATACCAGTGAGTGGGCTTTTGGTTTTCCGTATACACCTATATACATTTATTTTCCCAGAAATTGTTTAAAAAGGGTTAATTGGTTTATGCCATGCACCATATTATTATCGTTTATGCATCATTGCATGCATTACTAGTGACATGCCATTCCTTTTATGATATTGATTGATATGCATGGTTAGTGGCATATAAGTTGACATATATATATTCATTCATATGTCATATAAATATGTTGGTGATGTGGAGGCATAGGTAAGTGCCAGGTAAGCGTTATTTAACCTTTGCATTAAATAGTGATTAGAGGTGCTTTGAGAGCTCATAACCTGCACCCCCGGTGTTAGTGCTCCCGCCCAGAGTAGGGCACAGTCCTTCACGTGTTGTTCACCTCTCGCACCACACGCTCAGCTTGGATCCAAGTTAGGTGCACAGCCCTGTCGTACAGACCACTATAGGTGGTTCCGACTCGTAGGTGACCCGCGATTATTCGCACAGCCTTCACGTGATCGTAGCACTAGAGCGTTTATATGTATTACACCCAGGCCTGTCGTACAGACCACTATAGGTGGTTCCGACTCGTGGGCAGGTTTAGTTATTGAGATTGAGATTTGAGCTCTAGATTCAGCCGTACAGGTCACTTTAGGTGACTCCGGCTGCCAATGATATGTTATTGATGTGATTTATACCTGAGCACTTGCATATCATTATGAGGCTTTGACATGGCATACCTTTGAGCATGATTGGCATACCCTTGAGCATGATTGGCATATTTATACATACGTATATATGTTTATTTTTTGGGAAGTATACAGGTTTTACGGCGAGGGGTTGGAACGTATTTTACTAAATGGTTTTCAAAGAGCTTTGTTTTTGCCCACTCACGCTTTTGTTTTGCGCCCCTCCAGGTTCTAGTGGTCTAGCAGTTTCAGTGGTTTTCCCAGAGGGCGTCCCGGCATTTCTGATAGACACTCACCGATGTAGGGTCACCTTCGGGTGCACTATTATCGAGTTATTTATTTTGGACTGCTATAGATTTATGCTCTGAATTCAGCGTCTCACTTACGCTAGCACTTATCTTATCACATTGTGTATGCTAGTTTTTAAATTATTCGTACTTTTATATTACTTCTTTTAGCTTCCGCACTGTGCACATGGCTACGTCACTTCCACGTGATGGCCAGCATGCCCTGATCTCGGTTGGGGTGTGTCAATATGTGAAAAATACAATAGTGAGGACCAAAACATTGTCAAATGGGGTTCCACCCTCAAGAATCTCAATGGAAAGTCTTACTTTAATTTTCAAAATTTCACGGTGAGGCGAATATGAAAACAAATAGATTGAACGATGATTTATGTACGAAATTGTAAAACAACTAAAAATCGTGAGTGTTAACCCACGTTTTTTTTTTGTCAAAAATGCAAATTTTTATTTTTGCGAAATATTTCCTGCGAGCATTAAGGAAAACTTTATAACTTGTTTGGAAGCGGTTTTTTGATTTATTGTGCAACAAATGTATACTTAGTAGAATATTTAAGCATAAAACTGAAAAAATAAGTGAAAAATACAATAGTGAAGACCAAAACATTGTCCAATGGGTTCGACCGTCAAGAATCTCAACGGAAAGTCTTACCTTAATTTTCAAAATTTCATGGTCAGGTGAAGGTGAAAACATATAGATTGAACGATGATTTATCTGCGAATTTATAAAACTGACTAAAAATCGTGAATGTTAACCCACGTTTTTTTGTTCAAAAATGAAATTTTTTATTTTTGTAAATATTTTCACGAGCATTAAAGAAAACTTTATAAGGTGTTTGGAAGCAGTTGTATGATTTATTGAGCAACAACAGTATACTTAGTAGAATATTTAAGCCGAAAACTGAAGAAAAAAATATGTGAAAAATACAATAATGTGGACCAAAACATTTTCAAATGGGGTTCCACCCTCAAGAATCTCAATGGAAAGTCTCAACTTAATTATCAAAACTCCACATTGAGGTGAAGCTAAAAATAAATAGATTGAACGGTCATTTATGTACGAATTTGCAAAACTAAATAAAAGCAGTAAGTGTTAACCCATGTTTTTTTGGTCAAAAATGAAATTTTTTATTTTTGAAAAATATTTTCTGCGGGCATTATGAAAAACTTTATAAATGTATACTTAGTAGAATATTTAAACCGAAAACTAAAAAAATAAGTGAAAATACAATAGTGAGGACCAAGACATTGTCAAGGAATCTCAATGGAAAGTCTCGCCTTCATTTTCAAAACTTCACATTGAGGCAAAGGTGAAAATAAATAGCTTGAATGGTGATTTATGTACGAATTTGCAAAATTGACTAAAAACCGTGAGTGTTAACCCACGTTTTTATGGTCAAAAATGCAAATTTTTATTTTTGTGAAATATTTTTCAGAACATTAAAGAAAACTTTATAAACTATTTGGAAGCAAATTTACGATTTATTGAGCAAAAAATGTATATTTAGTAGAATATTTAAGCCGAAAACTAAAAAAAATAAGTGAAAAGTATAGTGGTGAGGCCTAACATTGTCAAATGTGGTTCTACACTCAAGAATCTCAACGAAAAGCCTCACCTTGATTTTCAAAACTTCATAGTGAGGCAAAGGTGAAAATAAATATATTGAACGGTGATTTATATACGAATTTGCAAAACTGACTAAAAAGTGTGAATGTTAACCCATGTTTTTTTTGTGAAAATGCAAATTTTTTATTTTCACGAAATATTTTCGGTGAGCATTAAGGAGAACTTTATAAGGTGTTTGGAAGTATTTTTATGATTTATTGAGCAACAAATGTACACCTAGTAGAATATTTAAGCTAAAAACTAGAAAAATAAGTGAAAAATAAAATAGTGAGGACGAAAACATAGTCAAATGGGGTTCCACCCTCAAGAATCTCAATGGGAAATCTTACCTTAATTTTTCAAAATTTTAGGGTGAGGCGAAGTTGAAAAACAATAGACTGAACGATGATTTATGTACAAATTTGCAAAGTCGACCAAAAATTGTAAGCGTTAACCCACGTTTTTTTTTTATCAAAAATGCTAATTTTTAGTTTTGTGATATATTTTTTACGAGCATTAAGGAAAACTTTATAGATTATTTAGAAGTAGATTTACAATTTATTGAGCAAAAAATGTATATTTAGTAGAACAGTTAAGCCATAAACTAAAAACATAAGTAAAAAAATATAGTAGTGAGGCCCAGAACATCGTCAATTGGGGTTCTACACTCAAGAATCTCAACGGAAAGTCTCACCTTAATTTTAAAAAATTCAAAGTGAGGCCAAGGTGAAAATAAATAGATTGAACAGTGATTTATGTTGAATTTGCAAAACCAACTGAAAACCTTAACATCCATGTATTTTTGGGGAAAATGAAAATTTTTTATTTTCACAAAATATTTTATGGGAGCATTAAGGAGAACTTTATAAGGTTTTAGGAAATGATTTTATGATTTATTGAGCAACAAATGTATACTTATTAGAATTTGTAAGAAGTTTTATGATTCATTGAGGAACAAATGTAAATTTAGTAGAATATTTAAGCTGAAAACTAAGAAAATAACTGAAAAATACAATAGTGAGGACCAAAACATTGTCAAATGGGGTTCCACCCTCAAGAATCTTAACGGAAAGTCTTACCTTAATTTTCAAATTTTCACGGTGAGGCAAAATTAAAAATAAAATAGACAAAATAAATAGGACTAAAAAAATAAGTGAAAAATACAATAGAATATTTATGCCGAAACTAAAAATAAATAGACAAAAATAGTAGTGTGATCCAAACATAGCCAAAATGGGACCCCCATCTATAAGAATATTAATAAAAAGTCTTACATGAATTTTGAAAACCTTATGTTGCGGTGAAGGTGAAAGTAAATAAATTTTGCAACAATTTTTGTTCAAATTTGCAAAATTGCCTAGGAACAATGATGCTTAGCCTACGTTTTTCTTTTTGAGAAAAATGAATTTTTTTTTAAAAAAAATTTTGCCTAATATTTTCCGTCAAGATTAAGAGTAACATTATGAGGCAACTAAAAGCGATTTTACCATTTTTTTTAGTACATCAACATTTTTACACTAAGGGAGGAAGGGGGGGGAGTTCGGCTAACCACACAATGGGCAACCTAATTTGGTATCGAATTCGCCATCAATGAGATTCGAACCTAAGACCTCTCACTTCCAAGTGAAAAGGAATACCACCAGACCGTAGTACTGAGTGGCGAAAGCGATTTTACCATTTATTGAGCCACAAATGTATTTTAAATAGAATATTTAAATCGAAAACATAAATGAACAAAAATTGAAGTGAGCCCTAAACATTGCCGAAACGGAGCTCTATCTACAAGAATATCAACAAAAAGTCTTATATGAGTTTTGAAAACCTCAAGTTGAGGTGAAGATGAAAGCAAATAAAGTTTACAATTTTTGTACAAATATGCATCGCCTAGAAACCGTGATGGTTAATGACACCGTTTCTAACTACAATCTCTCATTTATATATTGATGCCTATAGACATGAGAGCCTAACTCCCCCTTTTGAATGGTCAACGTCTTTGATGTTCGTTCTTGCACGTCATTGTGTCAATTGATTAGGACAGTGTGTTCGATTATCGTTCCTACAAGTTATGGCAGTTTCGATTATGTTTTGATTCAATCCAGCCATTAAATTCCCAACAAAAAAAAAAAAAAAATTATGCTGGTGAGGCCCTTGCCTTTGATGGTTTAGTAAAGAGTGGCACATGCTCATTACAACGTTGTTGTTTTGTTGTTTGAGATGATTAGGAGGAGTTGCAGCATTTTTCAAAGACCCAGCAAGGACAACACGCTTTCCATTTCAAACCATCTTCCCAACCAAAAGACCTTCCTCCTCATCTTCTTCTCCACTGCAACGCCCTCTGTAAATTTGGATAGCAGCCAGGACGACCCAGCAAAAGTAACAGCAACCCAGTTGTCAAATTGCACCACCTTACGAGAACTGAATCAAATTTACGCACATGTTATCAGAACCCACATGCTACGCTTCTACCCGGCCCCATTTCACTGGAACAATATTATACGATCCTACGCTCGACGTGATGCTCCCACCAAGGCTCTCTTTGTCTACGTTGCCATGTCTCGTGCCGGCGTTTTGCCTGATTGCTACACCCTCCCCATTGTTCTAAAAGCCCTCTGTCAGCTATTTGCTGTCCATATCGGCAGGCAGCTTCATTCCCTTGCCATCAGGCTCGGCCTCGACACCAACGAGTTCTGCGAGAGTGGGTTTATAAATTTATATTCCAAGGCAGGAGAATTTGAAAATGCACGCAACCTGTTCGACCAAAACCCTGACAGAAAGTTGGGTTCTTGGAATGCCATCATCGGAGGCCTTTCCCAAGGCGGCCGTGCCAAGGAGGCCATCGACACCTTCATCCAGCTCAGGAAGTGTGGATTCTTGCCTGATGATGTGACCATGGTGAGTGTCACTTCTTCTTGCGGAATTTTGAGTGACTTAGGCTTGGCTTTTCAGTTGCATAAATGCGTTTACCAAGCAGCAAAAAACGTCGATAAATTGAAATTGAATACCTCCTTGATGATGTTGAATTCGCTTATAGACATGTATGGGAAATGCGGGAGAATGGACTTGGCTTACAGGGTGTTTTCAAGGATGGAGCAACCGAATGTTTCATCATGGACGTCTATGATCGTGGGTTATGCAATGCACGGGCATGTGAATGAAGCGCTTGAATGCTTTCGGTGCATGAGAGAGGCAGGAGTGAGACCAAATCATGTGACCTTTGTTGGGGTACTCAGTGCATGTGTTCATGGCGGGAATGTGCGAGACGGAAGATTTTACTTCGACATGATGAAAAATACATATGGGATAAAGCCCCACTTGCAACATTACGGATGCATGGTGGATCTTCTTGGCAGAGTAGGATTGCTTGAGGAAGCGAGAAAGATGGTTGAGGAGGAGATGCCAGTGAAGGCAAACTCGGTCGTCTGGGGGTGCCTGATGGGTGCCTGTGAGAAACATGGGAATGTGAAGATGGGGGAGTGGGTGGCTGAGCATTTGCAAGAATTAGAGCCTTGGAATGATGGGGCATACGTAGTTTTGTCTAATATATATGCCAGTAGAGGTTTATGGAAAGAGGTTGAGCGGGTACGATTGATTATGCATCGGAGAAAACTCGCCAAGGTTCCCGGTTATAGCATGTCAACAAGTGCAGATTGAGCGACATTCATGTATCACAAATGTGCCTGGAATTTAACAAGAATGAGCTAATAAAACAGTTGACATTATTTCTGTGGTAAATGCAATTTTTTTATGCATGTTTTATTCTGACATCCAAAGAAAGAAATTCTGTACAAATCAAATGTCCTAATTGACATAGCTGCTACAATATCTTCAACAATTCTATTAACTTTTATATTCTAATGAACACGAACTTTTGTACAATCTACACAATCAAGCTGTAATGTTAGTGCGGAAGAAATATCAAGGCTGTGATCTATTCTTCTTAGTCTTGACTATTTCCAGAAAGCTAACAGTTACCTCCTTATTGATATGAAGGATACCAAGTAATGTGGCCGGGTTAATATTACACTTCCGTATCCATTGACCACGACTCATGCCAACTGAAACAGTTTCCATATGACGGACTATGGCCCTTCCAGCGTGATTGCCCACTTCTTAACCGTTGAGCATCAGCGTTTCATGTCAACAGATTTCTTCTGTCACTAATTTCAAGTCGTAAACAACTGACAAGCTATTTCCCACACTCGAGCAAAGGACTGGGAAAACGAGTCTCAACCCAACATCTGGTTGCTGCTACCATGCAACCTCTTAATGTTTGTTCGCCACTGGTCTAGAAGGCATGTATTTTGCTTCTCTCCCAAATTCGATTCTTGGTACACCTGAGCTATGCATAAATAAGCATACAATTACTTAGGATCGTTCTATCCCTCTGATTTGTCATCTGCCGCATAGCATCCCATAACTAAATCAGTTCTGGAATATTTACGAGGCCTTTAGCTTGGATCCAACTTCTAGGTTCTCTAGAAATGAAATACCCAAATTATTCATGGAATGCAAAACATTTTCAGCTTCAAGTTCCTTTCCCACAGATTTATAACAATGCACTGCTGCGCTCAAAATAAACCTGTCTGCCTCTCCAGACTTACTGATCTGTTCAAAAAGCTTGATCCCTTCTTCTAAATGTCCATAGTCCATGTATCCTCTCAGCATAGTCTGATAACATGCCACGTCAGGGTTCAAACCAGCTCCATGTAGTTCTCCATAAATTCTTTCTGCTTCACCTATCAAACCCATTTTGGCAAAAGCGGAGAGTAAAAGGTGAAAATGCGCACAGGAGGGATGGACACCGTTTTCATGCATAGAGTTAATGGTTTCCTCTGCTTCTGAGTATTTCAGACTCTCTGTGTAAGCTCGAATTAGGGAAAGGTACGTAAAGGAGTCGGGTAAGCAACCATCTTGCTGCATGGCTTTGAATAATTCCTCTGCTTCTTGATAAAGGCCCCCAGCAGCATATACATTGATCATTATATTATAACTGACCTGATTTTCACGTAAAAGACAAGACATTACACTCAGATAGCAGCTTTACACTTCCAAATAATCGTGAACGTCAATTCATAAGAAATGCAATATTTTTCAACCACCAGGTTGCTTGGGATAAGCCATCCTGTTGCACCAAGATGCACCCTCTTGATTTATTAATGAGTAATTACTAATTAGTCAAAAAAAATCTTTATTTATCCCTTTTTAAGTTTTAAATAATCTCAATTCTACATACCATCCCAGGTTGTATCCCTTCTTCCCGCATTTTGCTGAATAGCATGGATGCTTCATGCCTTTTTCCTACAAAACAAACACATTGAAGTTATGAAGAATTACAATTTACAGACAACAAAGAAATTTGACTAGCTGAAGAGTCTAAGAGATATTCACTAGAAAAAGGAATGGGAACTTACCTGCCATGTATAGTTATAAAAGGTTAATTCCATTGACTGGTGAAAACGGCATTTAGGATTATATAATATTCCATCTTACTTAGCACCAATGAATTATATAAACTGTCAAGAGTGCCCAGTTATAAGTGAAATGCTTCATAAATTCATGGAAGGTCTTTGTTACCATGAACTAAGCCAATAGAAATACTGTGGAACACCAATCAAATTTTTGTGACAATATCTAGAATTGTTTACATGGAGGGGGATTTAGAATAATACCAGCTTTCCCATAGTAGCTAACCAGATTCATATATGCCTTCTCATCCAAAGACAAACCCGAGTTGCGAGCCGTAGTGAGCATCTCTACAGCCTTTTCCAGCTTTCGACCTCGACCATAAACACTGCACCCATAGTTCGCCAATATGAGCAGCTTTCAATATATCATTTTTACTAATCGCACAACAGAAAAAAGTATACAAAGCTATTACCTGATCATGGTGCTATATGTCCGAAGTGATGGAGCAACCCCCTCAGAAAGCATGCGCTCATAGATACTGGATGCAAAATGCAACCTACCTGCATCATGAAAATTACCAAGCTAATGCAAGCTTTCTTCTACTCAAGCATTTTTACTGAATAACTGAAGCAGCCCATATCAACCTGCTTCCAGCATAGCCTTAATAAAAGTATTGTATGCCACAGTATCCAGCTCCAAGTGGTGCTCAAGGCTTTCCTGGATGACATTCTCTGCTTCTCTATGTTTCCCTGGAGATGAGTTTTATTATGATTAAAATTGGTGCAAGGAAAAGTTATGTAGTAAATTAACAGCAATGATGGGCATGATGGTTTTATGCAGCTACGATGTGGTGTCATATTCGATTCTGAATAACACAATGATATTAGGGAAGCTGAAAAGCCTATTTATGCTATTTCTTATAAGATGGTCGAAATGATAAATGATGTATAAACTCGGTTGCTCTATCATCTGATAATCTATAATCTTTTGCTAGGCTAACAAAGCCTTCCAAATTCGTACCACTGTTAGTCAAAGCATTGACAACTATGCTGATGGCAACAGCATCCAGATCATGTCCTTCCTCTGTAAGTTGTTTGTAAAGTGCGTATGCCTCCTGTGGTTTACCACACTTGGCATATGCATCAAGCATTGAGTTACATAGTAATTTTTTTGCTGAAGGAGAATCTGCAAATGCTGTAAATATTTCCAGGGCCTTTGTCAGCTTGCGTTTCTTTCCATATAAACTAATCAAAGAAGCAACTGTGGCATCATCCACCCTGCAGCCAAGCTTGGCCAATTGATTGATATGAGTTTCTGCTTTAAATGCATCACCTGCATGGAAATTGATGTCAAACTTCTTTAGAGGCATAAAAACTTACTCAGAGGTGACTTGCATCATAAGTGTAATGTTTTACTGAAAAAATTGGTAAGATTGAAGTTGCTTGCCTTCTCTAATAATGTTCTTAATGAGCTGACTAGCAATTGATAAGCCAACAGAAGTCACAGGCAATGATGCTAGAACTTTTTCTGTCTTACTGATATCACCATCTGTCAGATAGAGACCGAGCACCAGCCCCAGGGCCACGGTGTCAGGCTGGTCAAAAGTCACAAATTTGCCTTCCTTGTGTTCACACATAACACTAGAAATTGTTTGGACGAATCTACTATCCTGGCATAATCCGCTTGTACCCAGTTCTTCTACAAACTGTTCAGCATCTCTAAGCATTCCCTCCTTGCAATATACTCTCACAACTGTCCTGCAAAGCTCCTCGTCAAAATCTACACGGTCTCTTCTTATCTGAGTAATAAAATCCTTAGCCTTTTCCAATAAGTCCAGTTTTATATACAAATTGAGCATATCATTACAAGAGCCTGCATCAGGGAGTCCAGTCTTGGATAGAGCCTGAAATGTTACTTCAGCAGAACTCAGATCCTCCTTCATAACATAACACTGCAGTAAGACAATATAAGCAAATCTTGAGAGCCAAATGTTTTTTCTAGACTTCATTAGTTCCATAACTTCTAAAGCTTTGTCGCAATTCCCTGAATTGAGATGGACTTGTGTCATTGCCAAATACGTTTTCTGGTCACTAAGTAAACCCAGCTGCTCCATCTCTTCAAAAGCTGTCTGAGCATCCTCGTAAAGACCAAGTTTTCCATATATTCTAATGAGCAAACCATAGATCACTTCATCCGCCGCAATTTTCTTCCTTTCCATTTCTGAAAAGAGAGAAAGGGCTTTGGAGTAATCCTCCTTCTTGTAATACAACGTCAGAAGTGAAGCACAAGTGTAGTTGCTTGGAACTATTCCTAGAGACCTCATGTCTTCATATAGTCTAAGAGCTTCATCAAATTTGCCATGTTTGGTGCTTAAACTGATGAGCAAACTATAAGTTGCCTCCTCAGGAACGATTCCAGCATTCTTCAACTCAATGAAATTCTTAAGAGCCTCCTCGTGGAGGCCTTCTTTGACAAGGGAGCCAATTACTACTGTATAAGTAAATTTATTAGGTACCACTTCAATGTCCACCATCTGCCTCCACATTTCTATGACCATTCCGTGGAGTGATTTCTTCTGCAAGGAGGACAACATAAAATTATAAACAGCAACAGAAAGTAGAATCCCCCTTTCTTGCACGGCTGAATAAAACGCCAGCATAGCCTTGTGACGCCCCCATCTGGCGTATGTACAGAGCATGGTACCGCAAGCAACTTCATCCGGTTCACACCCAGATTCGAGCATCTCCAAGAAGGTTTGCTCAGCCAGCTTGATCTTCCCGACTTGGCCATATGCCCGCAATACTAACTGTGTAGACAATAACACTTGGGCGGTAGCTTAACTGTTGAAGCACAAGGTTGTGTATCATTACACATACACACACAGAAATGTACTACTAATCCCACCACCAAAAAAAAAAAAAAAACCCACATGAAAAACACGACGAAATTTCAGAGTCTTAAGAGTATTTACCATGAAAAGCACAGTATTTTCTTTCCTTTTCAGAGTTCAAAAAAAAAAAAAAAAAACAAATGAAATTGAAAATTGAAAAATTGAAAAAACGAAAAACATAGTGGCAGCTGAATTAAATGAAATGGAAATGGCTGAGAAAAAGGCAGGAAATTACCTGCAATTTCATCCAAGAGAACAAGTCCCTGACTTGCCTCCAGCTCTTCTGCTCCTTGAGCACCACACACATTTCTCTGAAGCTGAGCTTCCCGACGAAGGAGGCCATGACGGTGCGCATGTCGTACTTCCCCTCGGACTTCTCGGACAGCGCTCTAACGTGCTTAATGGCGGCGACGACATGGCGGCCGTAGAGGTGGCCGTTCCTGTCGTCGTGCAAGTAGCTGACCATCTGCTCGGGGGTCCGCTTAATCCACTTGGGGGTTTGGGCCTGTGGGCCCTGGTTCCGGCGGAGGGCGCTGAGGTAGTTGGCCTTGGCCTTGATGATGCGGCGGGCGTTGTCGTCGGAGAGGGGCTTTTTGGGGTTCTTGGACCTAGGTTTGGGGCGGTCGGGATTGTTGCCGTCGCTGAGAGACCAGGGGTCCGGGCTCACCGAGGACTGTACTACGATGTTGGTGAAGGTGGTTTTAGGTTTCGTGGAGGTCGAGGGAATTTTGAAGGCGGTGGTGTTGGATTGGGAACAATGGGAGGACAGCAGTGGACAGGTGCACAACAAGGAAGAGGAGTACGTTGTCAGCGACTCCATTTCCTTTTCCGCGGGAAAAGACGCCACCACAAAAACCACCGCCGCGACTCTACTCTACAGACACTAGAGGGTCGAGTAGAGGGGATAACAATAGTAATATCAGTTAATTCATTAAAAAAATGAAATTGGACCATTCGTCCTAAATTAAGACCAATCTTAAAAGAGTTTTTTTATTTTTTATTTTTTTTTATTTTTTTACAATGATATATTTTATACTAAATGAATGAGAAAATTCGGTTATGACACATAATAGGTAATCTAATTTAGTATTGAATTCATCATTCACGAGATTCTAACATAAGATTTCTCACTTACGAGTGAAGAAAAATACACTAATTGCTGTTAGAGTTTTGGTCTTTGAATTAAAAATCCGACTGTCATGCACTTAATTGTTAAAACTATAATAGAATTGGCTCAAAACTACAATTAATCAAAGTTGGATTGAAATTCAACCTAGTAACTTACTCGGAAGTGAAATGAAATTATATTTATTTCTGATTTCAAATGTGTGGTAATTTTCCCAAGTCATTCTCTCTCTCTCTCACGATATTTCTAATTTTCCTGATTCATTATCTGATGCCCTTGAGGTTCACGATTCATGACTTCGCACATCCCATCCCATGTAAGTAGAGGCGTGTGACACAGAACGTTCATGTCGCACATATTATCTGGACACCACCATATCATGAATGAAACCAAGCATTCGAACGCTGAAAGACAGACGATGAACAATAACTTGCGAAAATGTAAGACGCCGTACAGCAGAAACTGTCGAATTAATCGTATCATTCTATTTTTGTAGGTGAACAATTCTCTTCAGACTACGTAAACAGTCCACTTTGAATTCTACTACGACGGAACGGAGGCCTAAAAACAGTAAAACTAGCAAAAGAATGGGATAACAATTACAATAGCACATATTGGACATGCAAATAATTTGCCACGGCCAACATCCTCCCGAGTATATCAAACCAACCAAGACTCATCTGCTTCTTTGTAACCTAAACTACATCCAACTTATGGCAATATCTACCGACGACAATCATGAGGGTGCGGGATGACCTATTCACTTCCGGAAAACTACTCTCCACAATATACACATATGCTTACACTATTGTCCATGGTGCTCATGCTTGACACGTGATTTCAGTATTCCGGGACGGGGCGGTGACATGGGCGGTGCTCTAACTGGTGTGTTCATTGAAGCAAGAGGGATCTGTGGCTGATACATGCCTGACATGCTACAACCTTCGCCTCCATCTACCGTCAAATTTTGTGTCGCATCATCACTCTGCTGCCTATTACAAAAATTCATTGCCTTCAAAACATAATTATCATCATGGAGCTCAAATGGGGTGCTGCAAAAACAAGACGATATACAATCAAAACATAACAAAATGATGACTGCAAAACTTTAACGATTGAAAAAACTTTTTATTGAGCTATTACACAGAGACAGAGTTGACCCATTAACAGCGCTTCGGGCTCAAGTGCCATACTACTTGTGTCAACTATCTCTACTTGTGTCCTCAGCGGACAATCATGTATACATGTTACTACCAACTATCACGTCGCTCTGTTTGCAACAATATAAGAATGAAAGTTACCTATTGAAGTCAAAATGCACCAGCTGCATATCTTCTGATATTTCCACCTCAACAGTTGCATGAGGGCGAGTCTAGGGATAAAAGAAATAGATAAATAATAAGTACAAGGCATGATAAAGCAACTCAGACTATAGGTAAAACTCAAACGCCAAACGATAATATAAGGCACTTCTGATCTCTCCAGGTAAAAGTTAAAAGAAAAATACTAATACACCTGCTAAAGCATCTAGGAAAAGAAGGGTACAATCAGTGACCAAATTATTAGTGTGACAACAGAAGTAATCAAGAATCAGATAACAACAAACTTGCAAAAAAGGATTCTGACAGCAAATTAGTCAAGTAAAGCTAATCATGTGCTTGTTCTTATTTAGAACGGGATTGAAGAGTTATAGTTGGTATAAAATATGGTATATCTTGTATCAAGCAGAAGGTTACATGTCACATATCCCAAACCAACCAACCAAATCATACCAACCCATCAAATACAAACCATTTTGTTTTCGTGCACCATACCTAAAAAAAGCACTACTTTCTAAACTATCTCTCAAAATATGTAGTCATGAAACAAGGGAAACCTTGAGAAGAAAACTTGCCTGCACAAGAATGAAAGGTAAAGCCACGCCTCCACTGGGCGCATCTCCAGTGTGGTATAATTCCTCATTCCGTTGTATCAGATTTTGAAGACCTACATACTGATAAAAGAGATAAGAAGTAAGTGTGTGCAGACACTGATCTACATGGTTCAGTGCATCCTATCATTCAGACATGTTTTCACAGAACATTAGTAATTATAGTCGTCAAATCAAGCACATATAAAAACCTCAACTGAGCCAAAGTCATGAAGCATGAAATAATAGACAATAGCTATTCATTACTTGTTCCTCCAGCTCTTGCAGATATGCAGCTTTCTTTTCGATCCTATTCCTCAATCCCATGCGCTCGGTCTACATTTAATACAGGTATAAGTAGTTTTATAATCTCAAACTTGGTCTACAACGATCAAAAGACAATAAACCACTTAATATACAAGAGACAAAATATAGACTGCAATCAGACCTTCAGTTCTTCAATATCATTCAGGCTTGTACGAGGTAAACCCTTCCATTGTATTTCTTTTTTATCTTTAGATATAATATCCATTGCCATAAGAACATTCAGGGCATCATATACCCTTCGCCTGATGTTCTTCTCATCATCTTGTTGCTGCTAAATAAATTTGAACCCAAGAAAGGAAAAAGTTAGCAAATTCATTCCCCTTTTCTTCCCAGACAACTGCAGATGTATCAGCTTAGTTATCAAACCTGATCAGGGGATGTAACAGCATTGCTAGGGTCAGCAAACTCCGCTACAAGTTCATCTGCAACCTGGAATGCACTTCAAACTCTTAGGAGCGGAACTTATTTACATGCGGATCTTGAGAAAACTCTATTATCTGTTATGTCAATTTTAAATCACACTGCACCCCTCTATTAATGATAACAACATTGCCTAATGAGTCCCTTTGCTCCAACAACTTTTGCACCATTGTTCCCCAAGAAAGCATTTGAAACATTACTGTCACTACACAGCATGGCTTCAGATGATGTTGATATTTAATTGACCTCTGAGATTATACCACCCTCTGTAACAACAAGGTCATTCACTCACCTATGACTAGACTAGGAGTAAGGAACACCTCAGTAGTTAGAGGAGAAACACTAGAGTTACTAGCCTGCGAATTAACTTTATTTAGCACCAAACAGGCAGCCACATGTCAAATGTTGCTTGATGAAAAAAATCCAAATTTGTTAATTATCAATCCTTGATTTGATGGATGCTAGAAGAACCTACTTCAGTAACCTATTAGATCAAGATATGCATGAACCCTACCAGTTTAAACACGCAAACAAGTACTGCAGGGAAAGAAATGCTCCCTGATATAATACATAATCCATTCGATATATAGGACCAGGAGTGAGCACTAATAGGGCAAAAAGGAAAAAGAAAAATATGCACAAACAGTCAAACTGAAACCATCTAACCTCATTATAAGTGGTTCTTCCCTTGCTCTCCACTTTCTCACACACTGGTACACAAGCAACACAGAATCAGAAAATCAGGGGAGAAGAAGTATAAGCATGGATGAAAATAACAACACCGTCCATCCCTTAAATGCAATTCATAGCCAGCTAAATTCAACCACCTTTTTGGAAGGCAAAACAGGATGTAAAGAGAAAATAAGATAAGACAAGATAGCGATCAATGAAGCACCTTTCATGCTGAATTGGCGTAGTCCTCTTCCATTCTTATCACCTGCCACGGCCCGTTGCCCTCGCTTCTTCTTCTTGCTACTGTTCAAAGCAATAATCATTTAGGGCAACTAAAAAATTTAACAAGTGCTGTAAATGAATCAATGTCAATTTACAAACATGTCCACAACTCAGCGTCCTGATTTCGGCTCTTCATTCCCATATATTTAGCCTAAAGTAGAGCGCTAGTTATCTCAATCTAATCGATGATGAGAGAGCCGAAATCAGGATTCCGAAACTAAACAATGTGGCTGCATATTCTACGAATGTATGCGGTGGACATGCATATAATCAGAGATTCAGAGGACTCAAATGATAAACAAAACGAAAGTAGTAAACAAATAAACTATATACAAGCCAATAAAATTAGACAAACAAGAAAATGAGCAGCATATGAATATATTTATAATTACACAGAAATAAATAAAATAATTCGTTTCCGTGCCCTAATAAGACCTGAAGCAGAAAGAGAAGGGAGGGAGGGAAGTGACTGACCCAACGGCGCCTTGGGAGCCAGCGTCATCGCCGTGAACGTCGGGATGGTTCAATCGAAGAAAACTGTTGTCGCCGGCGGGCGTGGCCATGGTCTGCTCACTGCGGCTGGAGGGCGAGCCCACGCTGCCGCTCATCGACACGGACTGACCCCCGGCCATGTCGTCGTCTTCCTGCCCTACTCGCTCTCGTCCTGGTTGCTGCTGGGACCTTGTCCCCATCCTAATTCCAACCACACCACACCACTGGAATCTGGTATTAATCGGAGAATTAATTAATTAATAATCCGTATTAATCTGTATTTACGGGACGAAACCAATTGAATTCAAATCAATTAGGCGAGCTGATCTTTGCAGTTTATAGCTGTCTGCGTGAATCTTGATTCTTCAAACCTCTTTCAAGATTCAAATAACGAAGAAGAAGAAGGTGAAATCAATCAGTCGTGCCAGTCCTAGAGAGAGCCCTAATAAAGCTCGCCAAACCAAATGCCACGACTAAAGTTTTTTAGTAAATATGGTTTGTTAAATGCTGTTTCATTTATTATTTATTTGTATTATCTCTTTAATACAATTAGGATTTACAAACATATATAGATCTCACCTTGATTAATGATATAGTACAAATAGATGGTAAATATAGCAGTTTTGTTATTTTTTAGGATGTATACAGGTAGGAGTATCTATGATTTAAATGAGTTTATAAAAGTTGATGAGTATTCAATCAAGATTTTAAAATAATTTAGGCTCTATAAAAATCCGAGTATATTCATTCTGGACTTTGAATCCGGATCCTCTTTGTGAGAATCTCGGGAATCTGGAAATCATATTTATTAATCGTACATCGTGCGGTTAAAAATCATTTTAAATATTTTTATTTAAAATTAATATAAACAATATTTGACAAAAATTGATCGTACGAAGTAAGATGAACGAACACAATTTGCGGATCCTCACCAAAAGGATCGGGAGAGGATCCTGGGCTTTAAGGGTGTAGTGAATTTGGATTTCAGATAATTTAATAAACTTTCTATAAGTGATAGATTTTAAAGAATTTTAATAAACTCTATAATGGATTTTAGCACATTTATATGAATTTGTATATGGAAATAGAAACCAAAGTATGTATATGATCCACCTGTGTTTGTAATCCCAACAAAGAATAAAGATGAGTCCCCAGGAGGGCAGTCCGAAAGTAATACCAAAGTTTGTATAGAAACCAGAGTTTGTATATGATGATTATGATCCACCGGTGACGGAACGCGACTGGTTGAAGAATTCTGCTTAGATATGGGAATTGGTGAACAGCTCCAATGGCCTATGCCTGCCTTTCGTAACTCTTCTCTAGCACTCAGTGTCCAGTTTAGCTCTCGATCAGCGAAGGAAATCGATAGTTGGAGAATTTGACGTCTTTTTACAAAGATCCAGTGACATTTTTGTACTCCTGTTTTCCTTTTCTTGGTGGTTCGTCTACTTTTGTCGTAATTTACAGTGAACCGAGGCCGAGTATACGAGTATCGAATGACCTGAATTTCATCGAAACAGAGAATTTGATCGTGCAACAAAATCCGTTCCAAATTGGTAAACAATAACTTTTCGCTTGAAATGGATAGTGCAGCAAGGTGGCAAGTTTCGATCTAAAATTCATTCGATTTCCAATTAGAAAATAAGCATCACAATGGGATGGGGTTGAGTAGAGCGTTGACAAGTTCTCTCATAAGCTAGACACCAAGTAATTACTCTAACATTGCATCCGCTGAAGCTTCGGGGGTGGCAGCAGCAGCCGCCTTAGAAGATTTTCCTTTCTTCTTACCTGTCCGTTAAGAAAACCAGAAAAATTGAGCACTTGCGAAGATCACGACCGCAAAACAAACATAACAACGTATGAAGGGATGAGAAGCGAGAATATCAAAGTCAAACTTACCTTTGCCTTTTAGTTGTTTGATCTTGAGACTCTTCTTCTTCATGGGAAACTTTGAAGAAGAAGTCTTGGTGTCTTTAGATTCTTCTACTCCTACAAACAAAAGACCTTATGTCAGCTTCTTTGTACAAACTCCATTGAATTTGACAGAAGCAAGTTAACTAACAATGCGTTGTTTAATTTGGCATACAACGATTAAAGAGTTAATTAATCAAGATTTTGGAGCTTGATTATGTAATAGCAAAAGTCGCGCATGAATCCGAAAATCAAGTAAGACGTTGTCGACGAAAGATTAAGAATAAGTGGAGAGATTGAGAGGAGGAGTTACCATCAGCATCGGCAGCAGCCATTTCGACATCTTGCATAGTTATAAGTCCCTTCTTCACAGCCTCGTTCTGATCCTGAAAACAATTTTTTTTTTTTTACACAAAAATTAACGAATTATAACAACAAATAAACACAGATGGCAGATACAGTAATTAAAATTGGATTTTGACGGAGTGAGTAATCAAGGGGCAACAAAAACGAATACGAATATAAGATTAGTAATGAGAGGAAAGCGTACTCGGCGCCATTTTTTCAAGAGCTTGCGCTTGCGCTTGCCGGAGATGGAGAGCGGTTGAGGCTTGTTGTGGAGCTTCCCGGTGGTTGGTTCGCCGTGAACCGATCTCTTCTTCTCTGCTTTCTGTGCTCTCCTCCTCTTCTGCACCTCATTGAACTTCGCCATCTCTCCTCTCTCTCACTAACCCTAGCCACCGCCAACTGCTTCAACTTGAAAGGAAATTATTGTCAAAGTTGTTTTACGAGTTACAACTACGACGGCTGATGTGGATCGGATCTTCTCAGTAAGCCCAGTCCAATACCATAAAAGGTTTTTGGGCTGACCCCAAGGCCCACACGAGTTTCAAATTTGGTTGCTGCTAAGGGCACCCAAAAATTTCTTAACACCACACCCAAGACTTCTTCAAAGAGTTTTAAATAATTTTTTTTCTTGAAAAAAAAATAAAAAAATAAAAAATAGATACACATGGATCTGCATGCCACTTGCAAAGGAGAAAACTTCTGTTGAATTGCTCTGTCAACAAAAAAACTCTTAAAATACCATTCTAACCCTTTTGGGTTTTTTTTATTTTAATTTTTTGAGTACATCGATATTTTTACACTAAGAGAGAGAAAATCCAGTAAAGTCACGTAATGAGCAGCCTAATTTGGTATCGAATTTGACATCCAAAAGATTCGAATACAAGACCTCTTACTTTAAAGTGAAAAGGAATATCACCAAACCATTGTACTAAGTGACAACCGTCTCTTTAAAATTGAAGAAAGATAAAAATTATAGACAATTTAATAATTACATGAAGCGTGAATTTTGCTCTTTTTACTTCATCCTCAAAGCCATGTAAACAAAGTAGGAAATCCGTTGTTGGTGTGGAAGCCAAACTTGTAACCAAGGAGAGGTTGAAATGCCTCTATGAGTCTTTCCGACCCCCAAAAAGAATGGATAATCGTGGCTTACCATCAGTTGTTCCTCTTTATAAAAAAAAAAAAAAAAAAAAAAAAAAAAAACCATGTAAAAATAGTAGGTATCTTCCTCATTGGCAACAAATTTCCAACACCATTAATTCTCTCATTTTTTACAAATGATTACACACTTCCCATTTTAAAAACAAAATAAAAAATGTCGACATACGCAAAATGTGGGGGCATATGCTAGTATATGTTACAATATTATTTATACAACATGCTATTTAGGTGAACTATAATATATAACATAGATGAAGTTTGGTTTCTCAACTTTTATGACTAATGTTTGGTTGCAACTTGCAACACCAGGAGTCCAGAAGTCCAGAAGTTCAGATGGCCTAAAGGCACTTGGCCTCAATTTCCTCAAGAGTAAGCCCCTTGGTCTCTGGGACGATGAAGAAAATGAAAACTAGAGATGCCACTGCTATTGCTCCAAATACATAAAACAATATCCCAGCTCCCAGCAATGCCTGTTTCAATCAACGTCAATATTCGTAATTATCTCACTCACGACACGATACAAGAACGAACATCCCCAAAGACAATTTAATTAACAAAATTCCAAAAGAAATAACACGGCCGGTAATCTTAAGTACCTTTAGAGGAGAAAATGCAAATGTCACCAGCGCATTTGCAGCAAAATTCACAAGCACTGCTATACTCAGTCCTCGCCCCCTCAACCGTAAAGGGAATATTTCCGATATCATTAGCCAACCAATGGGACCAAAAGATATCTGCACAATAAGTTTCCATGGGTTACACTACAGAACTAAAAACATATCTAAAAAGAACAAAATATACGGTATACAACTTCTGATTACCTGATAACACCCAACATACAGCAGCAGAGCAACTACAGCTGCAACCGGTGCATTATCAAAGAAAAGGTAATACGATCCCAATAGGAATAATGAGATGACCTGTCATATGAACAAAGTATTCCACATGATACTCAAACACTCGAAGATAGTTGGTTCTAGTCTTACAATATACAAAAAATGAATAAAAATGAAAACATCAACCCAAAAGAAGCCTTACCATCCCCGTAACACCTCCTAGTAGTAGAGGTCTTCTCCCGAGTCTATCAACAACAAGAACAGCTGCTCCAGTCATTATCAACTACAACAAGAAAAAGATTGAGTCAGACATATCTGTTTAGAGAGTCGACTTCTTCAACAGAAATAGATGAACACTTTTCAGCAGGCAAAAAACAGAAAAGTTTTTAAACCACGTCCGGATAAATAGCATGGCATGTCATTTGGAAATACCTTGAAAGCGCCAAGTAAAATTGAGACCCGTGTTGCATCAGACGCTTCAGAGAATCCTGCACTCTATTAGATTATATGGGTTATGGTGAGAGACATTTTCCAACGAAACCCTTGTAAGGGATAATCTTTTCAACCAATGTCCAATCTGTACCCCAGATCTAAATTAGCAGGGTACCTGAAAAATCGATGCAGCATAGTACAGCACACTTGGTTGCCCTGTAATCTGTCATAGTATAGAGAAGCTATGTATAAGCCAAAGATTTCAACAGATTACATCATATCATATTCCTTTCCCAACTGAAACTACCTGTTGGAACAAGACTAATCCAGCACCAATCACAAGGGCCTTCAAGCATTTTCCATGAAACATCTCCCCTAATGTAGCTTCTTTCTCGTCACCAACATAAGCAAGCTCAGCCAGCATCTCATCTACTTGTTCAGGAGCTGAATCACCAATGGCTCTACCCCTAAGCTGGCACAAGCAACTGATTGCAGTCTCTTTTAACTCATGCATATTTCCTCTCCCCTGTATGGCACGCAGAAGGATCCATCTAGGTGATGCTGGTAGCCACCACATTCCAATACCCATAATTATTGCCAAAGGGGCACTAACGCCATACATATAGCGCCAACCAGCGACTATGTCAACTAAAAGGCTACCAATTCCATAACCCGCCTGCACAAAATTCAAGTGCTTATGATTTGCTGGCCTTCGTGAATGTACAAAAAAATAGTAAGATAAACTTTTAAAGAATAAGCTACAAAAAAGAGGAGCAAACTTGAAAATAGCTTTTAGTTGGCTTCATTGCATATCATGGCAGAAAAAAAAAATTCATAGACTCTCAGATGGAATGTAGAAGAACTTACAACCATCCCAAGTACAATGAAGAACTCTTTGAGTGATATTAGGCGACCTCGTATAGCACTTGGAGCTGTCTCAGCAATATACATTGGAGCTGCATGCATTGCCTAAAAGAGAAGAAATTGAAAATTTATACATCTCCAGTTTCATAGAAGGAGCTAAGTATAGCTTTGCATTGAAAAAAAAAAAAAAAAAAAGCATTCTATTCATTACCAATCCAATTCCTATACCATATACCAAGCGTCCAATCACCATAACAGGCAAGTTGGGTGCTACTGCTGTAACTAGAGCTCCAAGAAGATACAATAAAGCAGCCAAAATCAACTCCCTCCTTCTTCCTTTATAAATATTAACCATTCAAACTTCATCAGTAGTGGAAGACGTCATCAGTTTTTCTTGTATAACTTGGAATGTATTAGAAAAAAGGTGAAAACCCCACCTAAGAAGTCAGCAATGTTAAAGGCCATCAAAGATCCAATCAAGGCCCCGTACAATGAGCCACTGGTCTGCAAATGAAACAGGTACCAATTAGATACATTAATCTTCTCTGAAGCCAAAGAAAGATGCACAAGGAGCTGGCATAACTAAAAAGAAAAAACACTGATAGAGTTTTCAGTGACAGCAAGGAAGTTTAGTTATAAACTTACTATGAGACCAATTTCCACAGATGATAAGTTGTACCATGATACTCCGCTTAATGTGGCCGACTGCATTGAGTATGTTCTAAGTGAATCAGCAGTTACAAATAAAGTACAAAGAACGCACTATATGATTAATAGCTCATGTATACCTCTACGGAGATTGTAGCACATGATGTTGCACCAATATCATAGCCATATAGTAGTCCTCCGAGAGCTGGGAATAGAAATCTGAAATCATCAAGGAGCAGTGTAAAGCCAGAATAATGTGATTATCTGTAAAATTTTCAGTCTAAACAGAAGAATAAGACAGCTAAAACCGAAAAAATACTCACGGTAGGATTGCGGCAATAAGAGAATAGTTTTCTGAATTGTGAACCCCATTAAGAAGTGGCTCCTGTGTGTCGCCGATTTCACCTGAAGACTTGCCCACCTGAAAAATGGCAATGCACTAACAACTTTGAACGGGGCAGATATCTAAAACAAACAATCACACTCAAGCCGGTATTGTTATCAAGCGACACATGTTAATGTTCTTAATTGTCGGCGGAATCAAACAGAACACACATGTTAAAATGTAAAAGGAACCAAGAATTTGCATAGGTAGAATCGAACACTAGTGACGATGAAGAAGACAAAATCCTTGTCATTTTCCTACACTTTGTCAGGCATCAAACTCGAATTGAACTAATCATTAATAAAACACCAATACCAAAAGTACCAAAACCCCAACTCACAAAACCAAATTATACAAATTTTCAGTTTTATCAAACGGGGCCTTAAAGCTTTGTTCTTCCAACAGAATTAAACAGTATAAAATCCAAATAATCTTCTTAAATTTGTGTTAATTCAGCTGAACGATTCGTAATACGTTCCATAAGCACAAAGAGAGAAGGAAATTAGAAAGTGCAAAAAAATCAAAATTGAGGGCAGAAAAATGAAACCTTTGCGAGAGAAGAGAGCGCGGGTTGCTCAGGATCGGACGCCATTGCTGCCTGCAGCTCACCACACCAAAGAGCTCCCCAGAAATTGAATTGAATGGAGGTTGCTGTCGGCGTATGAACGAATACCAAACGAAATTTAGGAGCTTTTTTTGGTTTGGTTTTTCAGGGTCACGTGGAGATCGATAGAGAAGGTTATCGAAACTGGCAAGGGAGATGAGAAGAAGTGGTAAATAAAACAGTTAATATGCTGTTAGTTAGGTGAGTCCAAATGCGGTTGCAGTGGTCATGCAGAACTGAGTCGTGACTCGTGACTCGCGACTCAAAAACTGACTCGAGCAGAAACAGATGAAGGAGGTTGCTTTGCTGCGAAGGCTTTCCTTCGTCTAATTATTTTTAATTTTTAAATCCCACTTAGTTTTTTATGAATGAGAATTCTATCTGATTCTTTTTTTGAGAATTCTATCTGATTCTTTTGTGAGGACTATCTTCAAATCATGTTTGTTCATTGTATATCATATGATCAAAATTATTTCAAATATTTTTATTTAAAATTAAACATAAACGATTTTTTTCTTTTTTTTGTCAAACAATAAATTTTATTATATTAGATGTTAGATTAGTTATCGACAAAGTTTGAACCTATACTGTTATGCAAGGGTTCAACATCTTTCCACCTCTATGGTAAAGGACCACTTGCACATAAACGAAAATTGATCGCATGATAACGAATCGGTGTTTATCGGTTAATAGAAGTCGTGATTAATTAGCTTACCTTTACTCTCTTGCTTTTTAGTAATTTTCCATGACAAATTTGGCACAAGGCTTTTTCTGTTTATTTATCTGGTCTTTTGGATAAAAATTTAATTGTTATTAACACTCCAAATTCCTTATTATACACTTTAAACTTTCTATATTTAGAAAGAAAAATACACTTATAAATAGTATAAAATGAAATTTTTAGAATTATAATAACACTTTTCCTTTCAAAATAAAGAAAAACTAATAAAAATGGTTTAAAAACTTTGAGTTTTAACGATAATGACAAAATAAAGAATAAAGTGAATAGTACTAGAATTGACTATTTATTGTAAAAATATAACATTTCGTTAAAATAAACAGTATCGAAAATTTTTCGTTAAAATTCTTTTAAAATAATTGCAAATGCATAGTATTAGAAAAGCGACGGGAAAATGTAGCAGACAGACTGGCAGTGTCTGTCGACCTGTAAGCTTCTCCTTCACTAGCTTGTTAGGGCGACTCGTGGAGAGTTTGAGCTCGCGGTCTCCACTTACCGGTCCATTCCACTCCCATCAATTCAGACAAATCCTTTCGCCAAGCTTACTTATTTGAAATTATCGGACAGGTCATGAATCGGTAGAAGAAAAACCGAGAATAAGAACCGGGTATATCATAAGCGACACTCCTTGTCACTCCGTACATGTACGTTTCGGTATTGCCATAACCCAAATCAATGTGCAATCCACCTACTTTTTCATTCATGCTCTTCATGTATGCTCTTTTTATGTATCTGGTTCGCTCAGCAACGGACATTTCAGCCCTCGAGAACAACACCAATTAGCACTAGCAGTGCTCAGTGCACATTGCTACTACTCCTACCGTGAAACACAACCCTTTTGAACTGATATTATTCACCCAACAAATCAAAATACCAGCATTTCATTGAACTATGAAGTTTTTAGGACTCTTCTCCACACAGCAAGCATTCCAAAAGATTCACAGCTAACACAAGTACAAGCCATTTATTAACCGAATACACAGCACAATAGTGCCAAATCTTTTCAAGTTTGAGCACATACGTGCCACAGAAACAACTCACTCCTTCTTGGTTGGTTCCCAAGGTTGGTACCTGGTCCAGTCTCTCTGCCCTGGATTGAGGCTGTGGCCTTTTGAATGGTAAATAAACTCATCACCCTCCCCAGTGAAATTTTCTTTGTGTTCAATGCCATACCTCTTTGGTTTTAGCATCAAAAGCTGCAACAAGAATTCATTTGTTTGTAAGCTACATGTAACACGATTTTCACAGCATACACGATCAAATATTTAAAAAGGAAGCAGGACTGGCCTCATCTCCTGTATGATCAGTTATGTAGTGCAGCCAACCATGCCATTCTGGTGGTACTTGAGAAGCGTTGTAGCGACTCTTCTCTGCATATTCAACCCATCTGTGTCTTCCTGTAAAATCCCTCTGGTCAATTGTTAGCTGTGAGCATTCATACCACAATAACGTTGAAGCAATGCAAAACTTTGAAGAATGGCATCTTCCCAATGCATCAAAGAGGAAAATTAGAACAGTCGTTATATCTAACTCATGGCTGTAACTCGCATGGATGTGGTGAAATTTTATGTACCAAGGCATGTAAGCATCCAATACGAATTGTCCAATTGCACAAAAACCCGCTAGGAGGCTAGCACCATTAATTTCCTTGCATTCTTATAAAGAAATATGGGACCTTTGTTAAAATTTGTTCAGCCTACAAAAAGAGTCGAACCATTTTACCATGGGGAAGAGGAATTTGCACACTTCCTAGGAAACTAAAATTATTTCTTTACCTTCTTCCATAACCTTGGGAATATGGAAATAAGATTTGAAAAGATCCATAAGATTAAGATTTGCTTCATGATTTGAATATGGCTTGTTCTTGGAAACAATAGTCGACACCAATGTCACAACTCCAGTGCAATGCAGTAAAGAATATTTTTATGCTATAGTAAGAAAGGCATCAGAAGGTGGGGAATGAGGAAAACACTAACCATATTGAGTGTCAAGCTTCTCATAATATTTATTGCCAATGTTATCAACACCTACAAGCCTTGCCCCAATATTGTGGATCTTAGTTTGCCTACAGCATCAAACAAAAAATTGCTATATATGCTAAAGAAACAAAGATTACTACCACAATTAAAAAATGAAAACCACAAAGAAGCAAAAGTAATCCCTCATTCCAATGTTCATTTTCTTTACAAGAGAGAAATTGGTAACTATATCAGACTCCCAGAATTATGAATAACTTATCCTTATGGGGCTGTTGCTTTTTGCAGCATCCAAGTAGCAACTAGCCTACCGGTCACAATTCAATGTTTTAACTTTTATGTTCTCTTTGAATAACATGGCATATAAATTTTAACACACGTGACTTTTTCTGTTTTTCAAGATCTTTACTCAAAATATTAACACTCTAAATATCATGTAAACACACAGCACGCTTGTTTGTCAAGGATTTCAAGTAAAGGAGAAGTAATGTGACTTACGTAAGGTTTCCATCGAAAATACAATTTCTGCAAGATTTGGAACAGTATAAACAGTCAGCACGGTAGAAAGATATAGGATACGAAACCCAAAAAAGCAATTTAAGAGCCATTCAACGAGCTACTAAAAGACGTCTCAGTAAACCATGTACATCAGAAAGTGCTCCAAAACAATAATTATAACAAAAGATATCGTCCCTGAGCGCCAAAGAGTAAAGCATTTGGACAAAAGTTTTAGCTTTTAATCTGTTTTCCTTCCTACATTTTCCTACCAAGCCAATAGATATAACATCAGAGAACAGACCAACAAAATTTTCTCAACCCACCCAGCTCAAGAGCTGTTTGTTTCAGCACCTCTTCAAATTTTCGGACTTCCGAAAATTATTTCTTTCTTCAATGCAGCAAAAATAAGAAAAACCCAAATCGACAATTCAAAATCTAAAATTGCCATCCCACATTGATTTGTCTTTTATTTATCAGGTACCAAGGAGGACAGATTGGATTCAGAAACATTACTTGCAATACGGAAAACACCAACGATGTTCTTGGCATCCAATCACATACATCCAACAAGAAAAATTGAGATCCTTGACATCTCCAGAAGCATTATATTAACAAAAATAAACAAATAAATCAATTCGAAAAGCAAAGGATGGAGATAGAACATACAAGAAGCCATCCTCCTTGAGCTCCCTTAAGTAGCTGCGGAGACCCCTCTCTCTGATCGCCTTCGCAACGCTCTTCACCACCGTCGCCATTTCTCTCCCTCCCTTTTCCTCTGTCGCTCTGCAGGGCCAGGTTCTCTCGATCTCAGCCCGTTCCTAATATTTGACGGGCTCCGATTTAGGTCGGGTCAGAAAAAAAAAACTCGGATTGGGTTTAGTTTGGGTCCTTCACCACGTGGCATTTCCCCATTGGGTCGACCAACATCATTTTTGTTTTCATTTTTTAATTTGCCTGACAGCATTTTTTGTTTTTGTTTTTTTAAGGGTCTGAGAAAATAAAAGACGGGAGGAAGAAGAAGAAACACCAGAAAATCCGAAATTTCAATAGAGCGAACTTCACAGGTACTCTCAGTTGCTTCAGTTTTTCTATGAATTCTCATTTTTTAAGATGAAATTATTATTTACTTTCTTAAAATTGCTTTCCAATTTTTAATTTTAATGTTGCTTCGGATTTAGGGCTCATTTGATTTGATTGGGATTTCATTTGTGTTGTTTGGGTCTCAACTCGATGGCACTGTAACGTTCTTAAATTTGAATCTGTTTGGAAAAAGCGCATCAAGAAGTTGTTAATTGTTGTCTTGTAACAGCAACCTTGATCGATTAGGTTTGAGGAAAATGATGAAGCTGCAAACCTATGCCGGGATTAGTTTGGTAGCAACCCTAGCGATTGTTTATCATGCATTTAGTAGTAGAGGTCAGTTTTACCCGGCAATGGTGTATTTGTCGACGTCGAAGATCAGCTTGGTGTTGCTTCTCAACATGGGTCTGGTCATTATGTGTACTATGTGGCAATTGACTAAAAAGATCTTCCTTGGATCACTCCGGGAAGCCGAGGTGGAGAGGCTTAACGAGCAATCATGGCGGGAAGTCATGGAAATCCTCTTTGCCATTACTATTTTCAGGCAGGACTTTTCGGTCTCGTTTCTTGCTATGGTTACTGCTCTGTTGTTGATCAAGGCTTTGCATTGGTTGGCTCAGAAGAGGGTTGAGTACATCGAGACCACTCCTTCCGTGCCCATGCTGTCTCATGTTCGGATTGTCTCCTTTTTGGGTTTCTTGCTTGTTCTAGATAGTCTCTTTTTGTACAGTTCTGTTAGCAACTTGATAAGGACACAAAAGGCCTCGGTTTCCCTCTTCTTTTCATTCGAGTAAGTGATCCATCTTAATTATTCTCTTTGTTTTCATTTTGGAACATCCTACATTTTATTTGATCAAACTTTGATAACTTTAGCATCTTTTTATCTGATAATTAATACTGCATTTAGCTTCATTATATTGGAAATGAGTTAAGCAAGTCTATTATGTGGTCGTCAAAAGTGGTTGATAGGGCAGATGATGTGATGATCCATTGAAGGATTTATGTCGAGTACAAAATGCAATAAGGGAGAACTAATAGTTGTGATGGGATTATACGGAAAGGGAAAGCCTTAGATATAAAAGCCAATAATATGGATAAGTCATCAATTTCTGCATTCTCCAGTCTTTCTCATTTTAAAAATGTCCATGATTTTGTATCCAGGTACATGATACTAGCAACAACAACAGTGTCAACATTTGTGAAATATGTTTTCTATGTTACTGACATGCTTATGGAGGGACAATGGGAGAAGAAGCCTGTCTACACGTTCTACTTGGAACTTATTCGGGACTTGCTTCATTTGTCTATGTATTTGTGCTTCTTCCTCGCAATTTTCACGTGAGTATTCTGTTTATATTTCGGTTTAGATAAACAGCTGTACACACAATTTTTTGCTAAATATGACACAATTTTGAGAATGTGTTGGGCTCAATCTGTGATGAATGCAACATGTTTGGCTCCCAAGTGGCGGAGAAGCTGTGGACCTGAAATGTTTTTTTTTAATTTTTTGCCAAGGTGGACCTGAAATGTTAGAATATGATACAATAGTTGGGCCGAAATCCTATGAATTTAAGTTTTAAGCATGTGGAGATTTTTTCTTGTTGATTAGCATAAGCTGAGGTTATTCTTATCTTGATTGACGTGAAGTTTTGTCCCATCCCAGATACTATGGTGTGCCACTGCACTTGATACGTGAGCTCTATGAAACATTTAGGAACTTTAAGCTTCGCATTGCTGATTACATTCGTTATCGAAAGCTCACATCAAACATGAATGATCGATTCCCAGATGCTACGCCTGAAGAGCTTAATGCGTAAGTTTAAAGTCTCATTAGTTTCAAGTGTTTTATTTTGTAATCATCAAATTCTGCATAGTGGAGTCTTAGTTGTTTATGATGGATATGCAGAAGTGACGCAATTTGTATCATTTGCCGTGAAGAGATGACAACAGCCAAGAAACTATTATGTGGACACCTTTTTCATGTGTCTTGCCTTCGATCATGGTTAGAGCGACAGCATACCTGCCCTACTTGCAGGGCTTTAGTTGTACCTCCTGACAGTGGGACAGGTACAGCTGGCGGACATAGGGGTTCACGGTCAGATGCTCATCAACAGGGTAAACTTCTGAGCATTGCAATGTTGTTGTGTCTTTTAATTTCTGTGTGACATCGGAAGGTCTGATATTTGGTCATTAAAGGAAAGGCACTTTGTTGTTTTTAATTTCAGAACTTTGTGGTTTTTAAACTTACATTTCCTTTCCCTTCATACATGAAAGATTATTATAGAAGGAAATGAAAAATGAAGGCACCAATAAAATGCCAGTTGGATTTCATGTTTCATGGTCACTCTTTTTTTTCATTCTTATAATATATTTTTTATCATATGGGACTCTGATCTTTTGTTCAGTATAAAATGTGAGTTAACTGATGATTTTAATTGGGAACAGGGACAGGCACAATGGCTCAGGGTGGTGGAGTTGCTGGTGATAGTGTGAGCCAACATGAAGCCAGGCTCCGAGCTGCTGCTGCTGCTGCATCGATATATGAGAAGTCTCATGTATATCCTTCTGCAAACAGACTAGTATGGTAATGACACATTTATCCCAAGTTAACGTTTACATTTTTATTGTCGGAGAGGTCATATGTTCCCATTGTATTTTAGTTTGTTCCTAGTTTGGTTGTGAGAGTGTGTGCTTGATACATATGATTTGGATATGTTGTACTGCCATAGAATGCTGCGTACTAGAGTCTTACAAACTACGCCCTCTTGTGTGTAGGTCTCCTGGATATGCGGCACTTCCTCAGGTACAAAGACATACGGCTGACTCCCCTAATACTGAATCTAGTGGAGAAGCTTCTAGTGGACAATCACAGCCGCAGCTTGCAACCCCTGGTGGAGCTGCAAACTTGTCCTTCTCTCAGTTCCCACCTTACATGTTTGTCCCTGGGGCCAATGTGGCCTATGGGGGGAGGCTGAGCAGCGATCCAAATCTGACAGCATCTGAGCTGGAGGCCCAGAAAAAGTTTCTTCAGCACCAGATAGAGGTATTAAAGAGAAGATTAATCACTTCTGTTTTGATTTGTGGTCGTTACCCCCATTTTCTCGTGCTTAGTAACTGCTTTTCTTGTACAGATACTGCAGAATCAGCTCCAAGTTTTACAGAAACCAAAACCTAAGGAAAGTGTGGACATGGGTCCAACAAGGCCATCTTTGGATGGCAAAGGAAAGAGCGTTGCAGCTCCTTCATCTGTTTCAGATTGTGGACGTCATGAAGATCGGGTTGATACGTAGACATGGCATAACTTCAGGTATATTGTAAGAAAACAAGGGATGAGAAAATTAGTATAGGGATGGATGAATAACTGGAGTATTGAGTTTGAGCATATTATTGTACAAGTCGACTCTTTTCATATTTATGAAAAAGAAATTTATCTTCTTGTACTTGTAACATTTACCATTACCGTTCGCGAATGGTATAATTGTGTAGAACTCATAATGTTGCCTCTATTCTATGAGAGATTTTTCAATTTGACTGGAATACTGGTGGTACATCACGTGTTTCTATATAAATGGTGAGATATGTGTGTTAAAAAGTTAATAACTTAAAAATATAAATAGTGGGATATGTTTGTGTTAAAAAGTTAATAACTTAAAAAATAAAATTTTAAAGGAGCAATATGTAACGCTTTGAAGAAAAACAATCTTGTATCCGGCTAAGATACCCTTTTTTCTTCATTTTTGTTCAAAGCGGGCTGTGGCTTGTTTAAAAAAAAAATTTAAAAATTAAAAATCGTAAAATAGTAGCCTGCTCCTCTTTAACGGAGGCAGATTGTCTTCCTTTTTATTTGAGTGCCCTTTATATCCCTTCTTATTTTATACGGTCACGGTTAAGTCACGTCAATGTTTTATATTGATTTTTTTTATAAAGATAATAAGACAAAAAGTAATAGGAATATAAAATATTGATGTGATTTAACCGTAACGGCACAGATAGAAGGGGATGAAAAAAGCACCCAAACAGGAGGGCAAACAATCTGTCTCCCTATTTAAACGCCCTCTACATCTTTAAAATTTCAATGCGGTCCTTAAAATGACGCTTTTCCAATCAATGCTAGTAGAATAAAAAATAAAAAAAAACCTGCAGGAGTTTTTAGGGAGAACATCGATGATTGGCTTAGCGGGTTATTTGTCAACTTGGACAAAAGGTTGGTGGTTGGTGGTTGATGTAGAAATTTTGGGGCCATATTTTGGACTGGAACTTGTAGTCGACAAGAGCATTTTAAAGTTATAGATGAAGATAGATTCAGCTCTAGTGGTTAATTTAATTAATAATATAACTGATACTGGTTTTCATTTTCTTGCTAACATCATTAATCATTGCAAATAACTTGTGACACGCATAGCCGAATGCGAGTTAGTGCATGTTTACCGGGAGAAGAATATGATGGTTTATGAAATTGCTAGTAGAAGCTATAATATAGATCTTGGATATCATTTTTTAATAATCCTCCAGATTAGATTGGAACTCAGTTATTTGATAATATGATGTGAGTTCCTAGAACTCGAACTCTATGTAATAACTCTTCAAGCTAGTTTTGGAGGTATCCACCCCCTATGTTACCAAAAAAGAAAGTGATTATAATCCCTTCATATGAAAGAGCCAACTATCATTCTATCTTTCAACCATTTTAATACGTGAGAAGTTTTTATTGAATGTGTAGTTCACTTTTTAAACACGCGGAAAATATTTATTGACTGGGTGACGTTACTATAGAACTATGAAGTAGTTGCAAGAGAAAATATCTCCTCCACGGCAAAATGTTGGGTGTCCTTCGACCTTATTTGAAGTTTGATCTCTCATAAGTTCATAACCATCGGAGTAGAAGCCTAGGAGTGGGTATTGTGTTTTGTTGACTCATTACCTAACTCCATACCCACAACAATTCACCTTCCCCTGTCACTATTTTTGTTTTGGGTTGATCCCTAAGCTCACATCGCAATTAACTTAACATGCTGCAATCTGCATGTTGTGTTAATTCCTCAAATTTCGTTATCAGGTTTAATTTGGACATATAAGATCGATCTTCATTGAGTGTTAATTATGCAAATTAATTTCCTGAAGCTCTAAGCACCAGAAATATAAAAGTAGAAGCAAAGTAAATTGTCTGTGACAGCCGTGAAACCAAAAAATCTGTGACGGCATGAAACGAAAAGTAGTGGGGGTTGGTGGGGAGGGGGAAGGAATAAAGACAACACCTTTTGGGTTTTGTAAGGTGGCATGGAATAGCTGACTAGTAACCGATGGCCAACAAAACGTTCATTTTTCAGATTTTAAATGAAGGAATTCTGATTAGACAATTAATTAGGTGAAACTTGACCTTTCGAAATAGAAAGGTAGAAAAAAAGCTACAAAAATAATTATATTATGGATGAATCAATGTCGTAGTCTTATCGCAGCAGCACCAGATTCAAACCGCTAACTCTGGTCGTATTTGTATAGATATTCATTAGTCCTACGGCAGTTGAGTTAAAACCTAAAGAAACTAACTAGTCCAAATCAAGTTGGACTGGTCAATCTTCCCGTCCCATGGCCTTGAATTTCTTATTGCTCCTGAAAGCATCAGAAAGTGGCCAAAAGGGGTGTTATCAAGCTTTTCCAACCTGCAGGTCATCACCCACTCCTTTACTTAGCCTCAGAAGATCAAGCTTTTCCAACATGGTAATTGCATAAAGCATGGCTTTATGCCAATATCCTGGAAACCTAAACAATAAATTAATTCTCGCCAATTCTTATTAATTTCGATTTATGTTAAATCATGAAGAATTAAAAGGGAAGATGATGGACTTGTGGGAAGGAGAGAATGTGAGAGGAGAGAACATATGAATTGATTTTGAGTATTATTTTTAAATGGGTGTGGAATTGAGTTTGTGAGAGTAGTTTAGATAGTAAATTAGGATTTAAAGAGATTAATAGTTTAGTTAAAAATAATATGGGTTAAAGACTAAGCTGGGTGTAAAGAGAGGTTATATGGATTCAAATAAAATTACTCATTATATGATTAATTATTTAGTAATTGCGATTTTGGCATGAGAAGGAGGATTGAGGGAGGTGGAAGGAGGAGGAGTGCTAGCTACCTTCTTAGTTTTAGATCCTTTTCACCCTCCCTCTGAATAATTGGATACCAAATTAGTGACGATATGAAGCGCAATGTTTCATGAACACTTCTTACTTAGTATTAAGGTTCTAAAATACGTTAGACGCTAGTCGGGATGTGGGTTGAGACCTAAGCGGATTTAAGTGAATTTATTATATATCGTATATAAGTGTCTATTTATATTGGAATACATAAATTACAAAACAAAATGACTTATAGATTATAAAATTCTAGAACATATTAAAAACATGGGAAACAAGTATATAATGATTGTTCATCCTAGTATTCAATAAGTCTCTTACATTTTATTGAACAAAATAAAATGCAAAATAAAAGTTATCAATTTTCTGTTTAAGTAAGAGTTACAATCTATACAAGTGCCTAGACATGTTGGCAGGCTAGGCGGATGCCTAAGTAGGTCTAGGTGTCATTTCTAAATTTTCAAACGTTAGAGATTATCTGGATGATAGCCAGCCGCCTAACGCCTAGGCGGAATTTTTAGAACAGTGATTAGCATTGTATTCACTGTTAGCTTTAAACTTCACCATTAAATTAATTAATTTTTTATTACATACAATTGGCTTATGTGATTTTATCTCTCTTATATAATATACTAGCCTTCACGCACGCCCTTATGCGCGTGTAGAAGACATTTTTTAAATCACGGCATGTTACGCGTGACTTACACGTTTTAAATGTATTTATATGCGTAAATTGACAAAAGGAAAGTTAAATATTTGAAGTAAATGAATAATTTTAGATCATGCTAAAAGAAATCCCTCATAAACTAATTAAAGCAACTGAATTCACAAAATAAAATCGGTTTTCAATCACATTATTGCTAGCCCATTGTGAGGCTAAGTCCACCTCCTCCCCCTTAGTGTAGATAATATCGTTTGTTAAAAAAAAAAAAATTAATCACATTATTATCCACGTATGAAAGATGTGACATCCCACATCGCCCAGGGGAGTGATCCTTATATGTATATTCTCATCCCTACCTAGCACGAGGCCTTTTGGGAGCTCACTAGCTTCGGGTTCCGTAGGAACTCCGAAGTTAAGCGAGAAGGGGGCTAGCAATCCCATGATGGGTGACCCACTGGGAAGTTGCTCGTGAGTTCCCAAAAACAAAACGTGAGGGAATGGTAAGCCCAAAGCAATCAATATCGTGCTACGGTGGTGGAGCGGGTCCAGGAAGTGATCCGTCCCGGGCTGGGATGTGACAAAAGACCTTTTTTATAAAGAAAATAATATTTAATAAACAACTAATTGAATCATATTATTGCTAACTTATTATAAGATACTAATTAAAAAAATTAAAAAAAATGAAAACTTTACTAATTTATCACTGGCACTACGCACCTCTAAAGATGTTTTAAGCACAATATTCATCATTTTCCTTATTTTTTATTATATTTTTCTTCCCTTCACATGAGCACCATCAACTTTCACTTATCCTTTCATTTTTTTGTTCTTTTCTCTCTTCCCACTTATATTTATATTATATTTTATGATAATTAAATTACCAAATTACCCTTGTATTACTTGATATATTATATTAGGCTGCTTTTGAATTTTTTTGGTTGAGGGGCAATTTTTCCTAATATTTTTTGTCAAATGTGTGACCCAAACTTTTTGTCAGCATGCGTGACCCCAAATTGGGGCTCTGGTTTTCTATTATATAGTTCTTGAAATTGACTCACCCAATCAATATGGTCCCTGAAATTGAAAATCGACCAATTTAGTCCCTAAAAATGTGTGCCGCAAATCGATGTGGTTCTTCTGTCATAATTCCTTTAGCTACTTAGGATCGATCTATCCTCTGATGCGTTTAGCTTGGATCCAGCTTCTAGGTTCTCCATAAATGAAATACCCAAATTACTCATGAATGCAAAACATTTTCAGCTTCAAGTTCCTTTCCCACAGATTTATAACAATGTACTGCTGAGCTCAAAATAAACCTGTCTGCCTCTCCAGACATATTGATCTGGTCAAAAAGCTTGATCCTTCTTCTAAATGTCCATAGTCCATGTAACCTCTCAGCATAGTCTGATAACATGCCACGTCAGGGTTCAAACCAGCTCCATGTAGTTCTTTATTCACCTATCAAACCCATTTTGGCAGAAGTGAAGAGCAAGAGGTTAAAATGCTCACAGGAGGGATGGACACCGATTTCATGCATAGAGTTGATGGTTTCCTCTGCTTCTGAGTATTTCAGACTCTCTGTGTAAGCTCGAATTAGGGACAGGTAGGTGAAGGAGCCGGGTAAGCAAGGGAATTTTAATAAAACACTCTCGATACTGTTCACTTTTAACAATAAACCATATTTTTACATTTTCTAGTACTATTCACTTACACATTTATTTATTTTTTTTCATTAAAACTAATTTTTTTTTTTTTCGTTAGTTTTCCTTTGAATAATTCCTCTACTTCTTCATAAAGGCCCCCAGCAGCATATACATTGATCATTATATTATAACCGACCTGATTTTCACGTAAAAGACAAGACATCAGACTCAGATAACAGCTTTACACTTCCAAATAATCGTGAAAGTCGATTCATAAGAAAAATGTAATATTTTTCAGCCACCAACTTGCTTGGGATAAGCCATCCTGTTGCACCAAGACGTACCCTCTTGATTTATTAATGAGTAATTACTAATTAGTCAAAATAAATCTTTATTTATCCCTTTTCAGTTTTAAAGGCTATTTGTAATAAAACCCTTATATATATCCATCCTCAACTCATCATGCGAACTGCATCTGTTAAAGACATCGGAAAAGAATGTCGTCGTCGATCAGCATGAAGATTTTAATTAGCTTGAAACTTGTAGTGGGCTTGTTATTGTCTACTGGTGGCAACTTCCATTGTCAAGCTTCGCCTCCTCGTTACACTTTTGTGGTAATTAACTCCAGTTCAGTTCTGAATTCTGATGCATGTGTATGAATTGCACGAGAGACCATTTACTTAAATTATATTTTGTAAATTACATGATGTGGTAGTTGATAGTTGGATTCCTTCTTTTAAATTATTAAAAAATTAATCTAATCATCAACTGTCATATAATTTGGTATAGTATATTAACTTATAATGCATACGTATACATATATCAGTAATTTCAAAGATATTAATGAACTGATATCTTCTGTTTGTTGTAAAAATCAATTTTAGGTCGAAGAAACTCCATACAAACGACTGTGTAGCACAAAAAACATCTTGACTGTAAACGGCCAATTTCCTGGACAAACGATGTATGTTCATGCTGGAGATACTATCGTGGTGGATATCTATAACAAGGGAAATCGTAACATTACCATCCACTGGTAATTAATCAACTTTATATAGTGCATGTAATCTCATCCGGCTTTTACATAAATGTGTGATATAATTCTACAATTTTGAACCATCTATTTTAGGCATGGAGTTAAGCAACCGAGGAATCCATGGTCGGACGGTCCTGATTACATCACGCAATGTCCTATCCAACCAGGAGCCAGGTTTACCCAAACCATTATATTTTCCTCAGAGGAAGGGACTCTATGGTGGCATGCTCACAGCGAGTGGGATCGAGCCACCGTCCACGGTGCTATAGTCATATACCCCAAGAAGGGAGCCACTTACCCATTTCCCAAACCTCACGCAGAATTTCCAATCATCTTGGGTATGCAAATCAATTCAAACTTTAGTTTCACAAACATTAATGAAAAGATTTCTGACATTATGATCATAGTGATCTCTATATAAACATTTCCAAATTACGGTCCTAATTTTTCTGCAAATTGTTGATTCGAAAATTGTAGGAGAGTGGTGGAAGGAAGATATCGGTCAACTGTACAATGAAATGATTCAAAGCGGAGGGGACGCAAATACTTCAACTGCTTTCCTCATCAATGGTCAACCAGGCGATCTCTATCCTTGCTCAAAACCAGACACATTTAAGCTCAAAGTTGTTTCCGGCGAAACCTACCTGCTCAGACTAATCAACTCTGTAGTGCAAGAGATGATGTTTTTTGCCATTGCCAATCACAAAGTCACGGTTGTAGGCTCAGATGCTAGCTACACCAAGCCATTTTCAACAGATTATGTGACCATATCTCCCGGCCAAACCATTGACCTCTTGTTAATTGCGGACCAAATTCCCAACAACTATTACATTGCTGCTAAAGCCTATAGTGCCGGGGCTGGGGTTCCCTACGACAACACAACCACCACTGCCATACTCCTATACCAAGGAAATTCTAATTCATCTCCTACTTCTTTGCCTAATATTCCTTCCCGTAACGACACCAAAGCATCGGTTCACTTTACCAGTAAACTCAAAAGCTTGGCTGATAAAAACCACCCCGTTGACGTGCCGCACAAGATAACAACTCATTTGTTCTTTACACTCTCCGTCAACATGCTACCCTGCCCGAATAATTCATGTGCTGGGCCTAACGGGACTCGTATTGCCGCCAGTGTCAACAACATTAGCTTTGTCAACCCCACCATTGACATATTGCAAGCTTACTATTACCATGTAAATGGGGTATTTGGAACTCGCTTTCCAAATTTCCCACCCTTGCTATTTAATTTTACAGCTCAGCACTTGCCGTTGTACGTACTCCCGGCGAAGCGAGCGACAGAGGTGAAGATACTGGAGTACAACTCAATGGTGGAGATTGTGTTTCAGGGGACAAATATAGTGGATGGAGATGACCATCCGATGCATCTCCATGGATTCAGTTTCTACGTTGTGGGATGGGGGTTTGGGAATTTTGACAAGGACAAGGACCCTTTGACGTATAATCTTGTCGATCCCCCTCTTCAGAGCACCATCGCTGTCCCTAAAAATGGTTGGACTACCATTAGATTCAAGGCGGACAATCCTGGTACGTAATTAATGAAGACGTTCATCATCTCCCGTAATTAACGCCCTTAATTAGTTATATTAATGAATGATAATTAGATCATATGATAAATTGTTCTTGTGTTGTCCTTGTGTGTAGGTGTTTGGTTCATGCACTGTCATACCGATCGACATATGTCATGGGGCCTAGTCATGACGTTCATAGTGAAAGATGGAAAGGGTCTAGGAGCGCAAATGTTACCTCCGCCGCAAGGAATGCCTCCGTGCTAACAATTTTTATAAAGAACTATTTTCCAAAATGTGCGTACCATATATATATAGTCCCACTTATTTGTAGTCAATACAAGAAGCTTCTTAGCATTGACTAGGGTCATGTTGAAATTTCCTCATAAAAAGATATTAAAATTTGAAATAAATAATCTCGATTGATTAAATCTTCACGTACTATGTATATAGTCCCACTTATTTGTAGTCAATACAAGAAGCTTCTTAGCATTGACTAGGGTCATGTTGAAATTTCCTCATAAAAAGATATTAAAATTTGAAATTAATAATCTCGATTGATTAAATTTCTGCAACTTCATTGTCTTGAAATGTCTTGTTCAAGTGTCAGACCAAGTCGATACTGGTCCAGAATCATGTAGTTTTCAATCACCAGGGGCAACTTGTATTAATATTCAAATGACTAGTCCAAATCAACGAAGTTGCAAAAATTTAATCAATCGTGATTATTTATTTCAAATTTTAATATCTTTTTATGAGGAAATTTCAACATGTACACAGTCAATGCTAAGAAGCTTCTTGTATTGACTACAAATAAGTGGGACTATATATGGTACTATATATGGTACGTACATTGGCTATTAGATGTTTCTTCCCTGCACCCCTGTACTGGAAATTTGTTTATATGTTTGATGTAGTGTCTACTAGTTTTTCTATGATAATAACTCTATCCCTGGTTTATTTTCGAAATGTCATCATAATATTGTGATCTATTCACCCTAATCACCGTATCTCCTACTGCAGCATTTGAGTTCTCTGACGTATACATATAGACTCGTTATTATCTCATCAAAGAAATTGATGTTAATTTTTTCAATTGTTAAACAAAGGAGGTTAAGGAATTTTACCCCAACATATATTTGAAAGCACAAGTGATCATAGTAAGCGTCATCGCTCCAAAGATGACTCAAACAAGGATTAACAAAAGAAGTTAATACAAAGAGCTGATTTCCATTCAAGTCTGAGTTCTTATATAGGATACACACATATTTATAGGTTAAGGAGGAACTCTCCCGAACCTCTTCTAAAACCATCTGGGAACAAGAGGAATCTTCCTCCTTTGTCCATTACTTACGCAAGATAAGAAGGAATTTTTTAGGAGTTCTGAGAAACGTTGAAGCCACACAACTTTTACATTGAACAGTCACCTCCCAAAATGATGTAGAAATGTCCCACATCGATTGTATCTATAAGAAAATAAGAGTTTAAATACTAATCTCACTCAAACTAATATGAGGCATTTGGTGATAAAACTCAAACCTGACGGATTGTGCATGTGATAATTACCAAGCTAATACGATAATATTGATGTTGTTAAAAATGGACCTCTGATCCGTCTCTCTATAATTCTACAAATGATTTTTGTTTTAAGGACATTCCTACACGCAAGCTTCGATTTTATTGTTTATAAATGTCCAACAAATGTGTTGGGCTCAATCTGTGTTGATTGCATCATGTTTGGCAGCCATGTGGCGGAGAAGCTGTGGACATGAAATGTTAGAATATGAGACAATAGTTGGGCCGAAGTCCAACCGATTTAGAGCATATGTAGCTTTTTTGCTTGTTGACGTATTAGCCGAGGTTATTCAATGTTAATTGACGTGAAGTTTTGTCCCATCCCATGTACTATGGCGTGCCACCGCACTTGACACGTGAGATCTATGAAACAATTAGGAACTTGAAGAAAGTGATGCAACTTGTATCATTTGTCGTGAAGAGATGACAACAGCCAAGAAACTATTATTTGGACACTTTTTTCATGTGCCTTGCCTTTGATCATGATTAGAGTGACAGCATTTCCTGCCGTACTTGCAGGGCTCTAGTTGTACCTCGTGACAGTGGGACAGGTACAGCTGGAGGACATAGGGGTTCACCGTCAGCCAGATGCTCATCAACAGGGTAAACTTCTGGAACAAGGCTTTCAGCAGAAGGTCTTGCTAATATCTAATCTCAGATGAATCCGTATCCATTTGAAATTGAGTGTAAGCAAAAATTCCTGCTGAAATGTTCAGCAGGAAGTTAATTCCAAACTTCTGAGCACTGCAATTGTTGCTGTGTCTTTTAATTTCTGTGTGACAACGTAAGGTCTGATATTTGGTTATTAATGGAAAGGCACTCTGTTGTTTTTAATTTCAGAACATTGTGGTTTTTAAAATTACATTTCCTCTTCCTTCATGCATGAAAGATTATTATACAAGGAAATGAAAAATGAAGGCACCGATTGGATTTCATGCTTCACGGTCGTTCTTTGTTTTTCATTCATATGGAACTCTGATATTTTGTTCAGTATAAAATTGTGGTGAGTTAACTGTTGGAAAGAAATCATAATCCCTTACAAACATGGAATAGAATGGGCGCGTATGTTGCAATTGTTTGACTTATTTTCATTCCCTTTATTGTATAGCTGTCGAGAAAGTAGTTCCTAGTCTATAGGTTCTTTGCTGTATATAATGATTCTATTATTAACAGAGTTACTATTCTGGCCAAATATTGTGTTTGTCAATCCTAATTTTACATTAACTGATGATTTTAATTGGGAACAGGGACAGGCACAACGGCTCAGGGTGGTGGAGTTGCTGGTGATAGTGTGAGCCAACATGAAGCCAAGCTCCGAGCTGCTGCTGCTGCTGCAGCATCGACATATGAAAAGTCTCATGTATGGTAATGACACCTTTATCCTAAGTTAACGTTTACATTTTTATTGGTGGAGTGGTTATATGTTTCCATTGTATTTTAGTTTGTTCCTAAGTTGCTTGTGAGAGTGTGTGCTTGATACATATGATTTGGATATGTTGCACTGCTTAGAATGCTGCGTACCAGAGGTCCAGAGCCTAACAAACTACGCCCTCTTGTGTATGTCTCCTGGAGATGCGGCACTTCCTCAGGTATATTGTAAGACAATATATGTGGATAACAAGGGATGAGGAAATTAGTTCAGGGATGGATGAATAACTGGAGTCTCAGTTTTGAGCATATCATTGTATAAGTTAACTCTCTTCATCTTTTTCGAAAAGAAATTTGTCACTTGTAACATTTACCAATAACCGAACGCGAATGGTAGAATTGTGTAGAACTTGTAATGCTGCCGCTATGTACCCTATCGGCTTCTTCTGTATTAACTCAAACCCCATAGAAAGCAGTGATCTTGAGAGATTTTCAATGTGACCAGTACATGAGTTGGTACATCACGTATTATACAAATGGTGAAATATGTATGTTAAAAAGTTAATAAATTAAAAAAAATAATTAAAAGCAGGCTGTAGCTTTTTTTTTTTTTTTTAAATATATATATATATGTTGAAAATTAAAAATCGTAAAATAATAATATGCTCCTATTTAACGCCCTCTAGATCTATAATTTAAATGGGGTACTTAAAGTGATATTTCACGAATCATTGCCAATGGAAATATATGTGCGGAAGGAGATTTTAGAGATAACACCGATAATGGGCTTGACAGGTTCTTTTATCAACTTGGGCAAAGGACAAGTGGTTGATGCTATAATTTGGGGGCCATATTTTGGACGGGAACTAGCAGTTGACGAGCATTTCAAAAATATGCGTGAAGATGGATTCGGCTCAATTGTTCATTTAGTTGATGATACGATTGATACTAGCTTTTATCTCTTGCCAACATCATTGGTTATTGTAAACAACTTATGACACGTATAGTCAAATGCAAGTTAGTGCATGTCTACTAGAAGAAGAACATGGTGACATATGGTATTGTCACTTTGAGCTATAATATGAATCTTGGGTACCTTTTTTTGAGAGTCCTCCTGACTACATTGAAACTCAGTTATTTAATGATATGATGAGAGTCCCTAGAACTAGAACTATATGTCATAACTCTTCGAGCTAGTTTTTTAGGTGATCCACCCCCTTATGTTACAAAAAAAGAAAGTGATAAAATCCCTTAATATGTAAGATCCGACTATTGTTCTCTCTTTTAGCCATTATACGATGTGAGAAGTTTTCATTGAATCTATGGTTCATCTTTTAAACACTTGAAATATATTTATTAATTGAGTGACGTTATTAGAACTATGAAATAGTTGCAAGAGAGAATCCTTCCTTCATGGCAAATTGTCGGATGTCCCTTAACGTTATTGATCTTTGATCTCTCACAAGTTCATAACCATTGGAGTAGAAGCCTTGAAGTGGGTATTGTGCTTGGTTGATTCATTACCTAACTCCATACGCACAACAATTGACCTTCCCTTGTTACTATTTTTGTTTTGGTTTTGGGTTGATCCCAAAGCTCACATCGCAATTAACTGAACAGTGAAAGAGGCAAAATCCTATCTGCATGTTGTGTTAATTCCTCAAATTTCATTGAGTGTTAATTATGCAAGTTAATTTCCTGAAGCTCTAAGCACCAGAAATATAAAAGTAGAAGCAAAGTAAATTGTCTGTGACAGGCAGGAATAGAAAAGATCCGTGACGGCATGAAACGAAAAATTATTGTGGGGTGGGGTGGGGGCGGGGGCGTGGAATAAAGGAAACACCTTTTGGGTTTTATGAGGTGGCATGGAAGCTGACTAGCGACCGACAGCCAACAAAACGTTCATTTTTTCTTTTGTTTTAGTTGAGTTCAATTACTTCAGATTGGAAATGAAGGAATTCTGATTATACTGTATTATGTGAAAGCTGACCTTTCTCACTAATAAAAAAAAATAGAAAGGTTGAAAAAAGCTAAAAAATAATTATAATATTAATTTATTTAGTGATCGCGATTCACGCATGACGGCGTGATGAGGAGGATTGAGGGAGGAGGAAGGAGGAGTGCTAGTTACTTTCTTAGTTTTAGATCCTTTCACCCTCCCTCTGAATATTTGGATACCAAAATAGAGGCGATATTAAGGACAATGTTTTATGAACACTTCTCGCGTAGTATTAAGATTTTAAAAGACGTTAAGCGCTAGTTGAGTGATGGGTTGGGACCTAACGAAACTAAGCTGATTTAATTGAATTTATTATATCTTATATTAGTAAGTGTTTATTTACTTAAAAACATGCATAATTGTATTGTTTATGTACAGTTTTAGAACATATTAAAAACATGAGAAACAAGTGTATAATGATTGTCCATCGTATTCAACAAGTCTCTTATATTTATGGAACAAAATAAAATGCAAAATGAAAGTTATCGATTTTCAGTCTAAGTGAGAGTTACGATCTATACGGATGCCTAGATAGGTATAGGCGGTCTAAGCCCATGTCTAGGCGGACTAAGTGGATGCTTAAGTAGGTAGCGTCATTCCTTAATTTTCGAATGTCAAGAAATTAATCGGGACGGTGACCAACCGCCTAACGCTTAACGTGCTTACCATAGCATCCGCTGTTAGTTTTTTTTTTTTTTGGAAACTTTAGATGGATATTGATTATTCCTTTCCTATGTCTTTAACCTTCACCAGTAAATTACTTAATTTTCGATTACGTACAATAGGCTCCTGTGTTTTTATCTCTTATATATAATATGTGTGTGTGTGTATATATCCATCCTCAACTCATCATGCGAACTACATCTGTTAAAGACATAGGAAAGGAATAATCAATATCGTCGTCGATCAGCATGAAGATTTTAATTAGCTTGAAACTTGTAGTCGGCTTGTTATTAGCTACTGTTGGCATCTTCCATTGCCAAGCTTCGCCTTCTCGCTACACTTTTGTGGTAATTAACTCCAGTTCAGTTCAGAATTCTGATGCATATGTATGAATTGCATGACTGACAATTTATTTATTTTATAGACCATATGATGATTGAATTGATTTTTTTTAATAATCCCCTTCCATTTTCCGACTATAATATGTTAACTTAAAATGCATATATATATAGGTACACACACACACATACATACATACACACATACACACATATATCTGTGATTTCAAGGATATTAATGAATAGCTTCTGTTTGTTTGTAAAAATCAATTTTAGGTCGAAGAAACTCCATACAAACGATTGTGTTGCACAAAGAACATCTTGACTGTAAACGGCCAGTTTCCTGGACCAACATTGTATGTTCATGCTGGAGATACTATCGTAGTGGATATCTATAACAAGGGCAATCGTAACATTACCATCCATTGGTAATTAATCAACTTTATACAGTGCATGTAGTCTCATCCGGCTTTTACATAAATTCATGATACGATTCTACAATTCTGAACCATCTATTTCAGGCATGGAGTTAAGCAACTGAGGAATCCATGGTCAGACGGTCCTGATTACATCACGCAATGTCCTATCCAACCAGGAGCCAGGTCTACCCAAACCGTTATATTTTCCTCAAATGAAGGGACTCTATGGTGGCATGCCCATATCCAGTGGGATCGAGCCACCGTCCATGGTGCTATAGTCATATACCCCAAGAAGGGAGCCACTTACCCTTTTCCCAAACCTCACGCTGAATTTCCAATCATCTTGGGTATGCAAATCAATTCAAACGTCAGTTCCACAAAACACTTATAAAATAGCTTAAAGCGCTTTCAAATAACTAAAAACGCCTGTGACAGCTAAAGTTAAACGGTTTTTTTGGGCATTTTCTATTGCATTTTCATTAAAATTTTCACTGTGTTCTATTGCAAAGATTTCTGACCTTATGAGCATAGTGATTTCTATATAAACATTTCCAAATTAAGATCCTAACTTGTCTGCAAATTGTTGATTTGAAAATTCTAGGAGAGTGGTGGAAGGAAGATATCGGACAACTTTACAATGAAACCATTCAAAGCGGATCGGACGCTAATACTTCAAATGCTTTCCTCATCAATGGTCAACCAGGCGATCTCTATCCTTGCTCAAAACCAGACACATTTAAGCTCAAAGTTGATTCCGGCAAAACCTACCTGCTCAGACTAATCAACTCTGCCGTGCAAGTGATGCTGTTTTTCGCCATTGCTAATCACAACGTCACGGTTGTAGGCTCAGATGCTAGCTACACCAAGCCATTTTCAACAGATTATGTGACCATATCTCCCGGCCAAACCATTGACCTCTTGTTAAATGCCGACCAAATCCCCAATAACTACTACATTGCTACGAAAGCCTACGTTGGCGGGGCTGGGGTTCCCTACGACAACACAACCGCCACTGCCATACTCCAATACCACGGAAATTTTAATTCATCTCCTACTTCTTTGCCTAATATTCCTTTCTATAACAACACCAACGCATCGGTTCACTTTACCGGTAAACTCAAAAGCTTGGCTGATAAAAACCACCCCGTTGACGTGCCACACATGATAACAACTCCTTTGTTCTTTACAATCTCCGTCAACTTACTACCCTGCCCGAATAATTCATGTGGTGGGCCTAATGGGACTCGTTTTGCCTCCAGTGTCAACAACATTAGCTTTGTCAACCCCACCATTGACATATTGCAAGCTTACTATTACCATGTGAATGGGGTATTTGGAACTCGCTTTCCAAATTTCCCCCCCTTGCAATTTAATTTTACAGCGCCAAACTTGCCGTTGTACCTACTCCCGACAAAGCGAGCGACAGAGGTGAAGATACTGGAGTACAACTCAACGGTGGAGATAGTGTTTCAGGGGACAAATATAGTGGCAGGTGATGACCATCCGATGCATCTACATGGATTCAGTTTCTACGTTGTGGGATGGGGGTTTGGGAATTTTGACAAGGACAAGGACCCTTTGACATATAATCTTGTCGATCCTCCTCTTCAGAACACCATCGCTGTCCCTGTAAATGGTTGGACTACCATTAGATTCAAAGCAGACAATCCTGGTACGTAACTAAAAAAGGTGTTCATCATCTCTAATAAATATATTATCTAAGGGGCCGTTTAATAATTACCATATGAGTTTTCAGTTTCCAATTTTAGTTAACCGCCTCTAGTTAGTTATATTAATTAATGATTAGATCATATGACAAATTGTTCTTGTTGTTGTCGTTGTGTGTAGGCGTTTGGTTTATGCACTGTCATATCGATCGGCATATGTCATGGGGCATGGACGTGACATTCATAGTGAAAAATGGAAAGGGTCCAGGAGCACAAATTTTACCTCCGCCACAAGGACTGCCTCCGTGCTAACAATATTTATAAGGCTTTGAAGCTGGTTCAATGTTCATGGCAATAAATTGGGACAGCATGTAGTTAGTCCCTTCTATTCCGGATATTTATGTCAGTAGAATTTAACAGGTTTTGTGATGGCGATCAACGACTCAAGAATAAGAGGAAAGGTTTCCATCAAAGAAATATGATGATCAATGCGCTTTGTATTCGTACTAAAATTAAAATTTACCTGGCCTTATCTTCAGAACACCATCAAAGAAATATGTGAAGCAATACGCTGCTTTAACAATAACCCTCCATTTTGCTGGAAGAACGTGGCTTTGAGAATAAAGAACTTCCGTCTCTTCACACTGGAATAAACCCCAGTGATCCCAAACGACATAAATAAGCCAAAAAAGCCCAGACCCGCAAGTTTAACTTTAATTATGTACTAACATATTCAGCACCACTGCTAATAAATTGATCAAATTAATTTTTTTGCTTTAATTATATACTATCAGTCTAGGTACGTGCCTAGACTGGAAAAACTTTTATGTGTTTGATGTAGCGTCCACCAGTTTTCCTATGGTAATAATTATATCCCTGGTTTGTTTTTGAAATGCCATACTGCAGTTCTGAGTTCTGTGATATACATATAGATTCGTTATTATCTCATAAAAGAAAATGATATTAATTTTTTTTTTTTTAATTTTTTTGGAAAACCTCAGCGGGATGAGAGAAATTTATTGATAGGAAAAAAGAAATTACACTTAGTTAGGGGGGGACATAAACCTTACCCCTCATAGAACAAGAAAAATGAAATACAAGGAGGGGGGGGGCATACACCTTCAAAGAAAATACAGGAAAAAAGAAAAGAGGGGTGTGTTGTTTTTTTTTTGGGGGGGGGGGGGGGGGGAGAGAGAGACATAGACCATACTCCTCTTGAAAAAGAAAATACAAGAAAAAGATTGAGTGGACATATACTCAAACCCCTCTATAAACCTTAAAAGGTAAGAGCCTGCAAAACAAGCTGCAAAACGAAAAAATGAAATCCAAAAAGATTAGGTAAAAAGGGGAAATCACTCATCAAGAAGGGGAGACAAACCTGTAGGCTGGCATGCTCAAGAAATCTGAGTGCAGAAGAGGAAGAATCTCTATAGGAGGAGCAGAATGCCAAACAAGTGAAGATGAGAGAAGCTCTAAATTGGCTAATTTGTCAGCAACAGCATTCCCTTCTCAAAATGTATGAGAGTAACGGAAAACCATGTTTTGCAATCGGAGAATACAATTATTCCCGCATGTCTGGAGTGACCAAGGAGGAGAGAAGGATCCAGAAGCGAAGCAAGATATTAATTTTTTTCAATTGTTATACAAAGTGAGTATGTTTTAGCTTGAGTGTTTATCAATGGAGGCCGTGAGAATGAGTCCTGCAGATTTGCAGGTTGCTCGAAAATGACAGAGAGAAAAGGAAGGTGCTAACAATACTTGGATTCCATTGACAGCTCACACACTAAGTGTAATGAGCATATAACCGTTACAAAGAGAGAGGAAAGAGATGAGAGTTTCTCTCTTACATCAAAGTAAATCCAACAATTCAAGCAATCTATCCTATAAGATAGTTATATGTAGAAAAAACAATCACTTAACTAAATGAATCTGAAATGCACACGTGGACTATGATCCAAGGGCTCAAATTTAATCAAGGCTTTTAAATTTGTAGAGACCAATATTCATTTTTTGCAAAACACTTATGCACTAACAGAGGGTAAGGAATTTTACCCCAAGACATAGTTGAAAGCACAGATGATCACACTAAGCGTCACCGCTGCAAAGATGACTCAAACAAGGATTAACAAGAAACGTTAATACAAAGAACTGATTTCCATTCAAGTCTGAGTTCTTACAAAGGATACACACATATTTATAGGCTAAGGAGAAACTCTCCCGAAACTCTTCCAAATTTATCTAGGAACAAGAGGAATCTTCTTCCTTTGTCCATTACTTACACAAGATAAGATGGAATCTCCTTTGTGCACAGCTTCTTCTTCGTGATAGCTTTTGGTTTAGATAAGTAGCTATATACACAATTTTTTGCTAAATATGGTACAATTTTGAGAATATGTTGGGCTCAATCTGTGTTGATTACAACATGTTTGGCTCCCATGTGGCGGAGAGGCTGTGGACATGAAATGTTAGAATCTGAGAAAATAATTAGGCCGAAATCCTACCGATAAGTTTTAAGCATGTGGAGATTTTTGCTTGTTGACGTGCATAAGCTGAGGTTATTCTACCTTGATTGACGTGAAGTTTTGTCCCATCCCAGGTACTATAGTGTGCCACTGCACTTGATACGTGAGGTCTATGAAACATTTAGGAACTTTAAGATTCGCATTGCTGATTACATTCGTCATCGAAAGCTCACATTAAACATGAATGATCGATTCCCAGATGCTACGCATGAAGAGCTTAATGCGCAAGTTTAAGGTCTCATTAGTTTCTGAGTGTTTTATTTTGTAATCATCAAATTCTGCATATTGGAGTCTTTGTTGTTGATGATGGATATGCAGAAGTGACGCAACTTGTATCATTTGCCGTGAAGAGATGACAACAGCCAAGAAACTATTGTGTGGACACCTTTTTCATGTGCCTTGCCTTCGATCATGGTTAGAGCAACAGCATAACTGCCCTACTTGCAGGGCCCTAGTTGTACGTCCTGACAGTGGGAAAGGTACAGCTGGCGGACATAGGGGTTCACGGTCAGATGCTCATCAACAGGGTAAACATCTTAGTGTTGCAATTTGTGTTGTCTTTCAACCTAAGGTCTGATATTTGATTATTAGAAGGAAGGCACTTTGTTGTTTTTAATTTCAGAACTTAGTAGTTTTTAAACTTACATTTCCTTTTCCTTCATACATGAAAGATTATTGTAGAAGGAAATGAAAAATGAAAGCACCAATAAAATGCCGTTGGATTTCCTGTTTCATGGTCGCTCTTTTATTGTATGATCTATTTTGATCATATGGGACTCTAATATTTTGTTCAGTATAAAATTGTGGTGAGTTGACTGATGATTTTAATTGGAAACAGGGACAGGCACAAGGGCTCAGGATAGTGGAGTTGCTGGTGATGGTGTGAGCCTATATGGAGCCAGGCTCCGAGCTGCTGCTGCTGCATCGATTATTAGAAGTCTCATGTATATCCTTCTGCAAACAGACAATTATGGTAATAACACCTTTATCGTAAGTGTTAGTTTACATTTTATTGGAGGAGTGGTCACATGTTTCCATTGTATTTTAATTTGTTCCTAGGTTGCTTGTGAGAGTGTGTGCTTGATACATATGATTTGGATATGTTGCACTGCATAGAATGCTACATACTACACCCTTACAAACTACGCCCTCTTCTGTGCGGGTCTCCTGGATATGCAGCACTTCCTCAGGTTCAAAGACATATGGTTGACTCCTCTAATACTGAATCTAGTGGAGAAGCTTGTAGTGGACAATCACAACCGCAGCTTGCAACCCCTGGTGGACCTGCAAAGTTGTCTTTCTCTCAGTTTCCACCTTACATGTTTGTCCCTGGAGCCAACGTGGCCTATGGGGAGAGGTCGGGCAGCGATCCAAATCTGACAGCTTCTCAGCTGGAGGCCCAGAAAAAGTTTCTTCAGCACCAGGTAGAGCTGGTATTAAAGAGACGATGAATAACTTCTGTTGTGATTTGTGGTGGCTACCCCCGTTTTCTCTGCTTAGTAACTGCTTTTCTTATACAGATCCTGCAGAATCAGCTCCAAGTTTTACAGATGCCAAAACCAAAGGAAAGTGTGCACATGGGTCTAACAAGGGCTTCTTTGGATGGCAAAGGAAAGAGTGTTGCAGCTTCTTCATCTGCTTCAGATTGTGGACGTCATGAAGATGGGGTTGATTCGTAGACATGGCATAACTTTAGGTATATTGTAAGACACTATATGTGGATAACAAGGGATGAGAATGTTGAGAGTTGTCCCACATCGGTGAGGGACAAGGTTTGTTATGTGCTTATATGGTCTTGGACTACTCCCCATATAGCTAATTGGTTTTATGATGGAACCCCAACTTTCTTCATAGTATCAGAGCATGTTGTCCTCGTGTGAAGCCAAACGACCATACGCGCTCCACGTCACTTAGTTGTTGTCCACATGTAGGCTTGAAAATTCGCCACACATACCGGGGCGTATTGAGAGTTGTCCCACATCGATGAGGGACAAAGTTTGCTATGTACTTATATAGTCTTGGGCTACTCCCTATATAGCTAATTGGTTTTACGGTTGAACCTCAATTTCATTAAAAAATAGGTTAGGGATGAAAGAATAACTGGAGTTTGAGCATATTACTGTATAAGTTACACTCTTTCCCTCTTTTTGAAATAGAAATTTCTTATCTTTTTGTACTTATAACATTTTCCAATACCGTTCGTGGATGATAAAATTGTGTAGTACAGTACCAGGACGTGAAATGTTGCCTCTATCGGCTTCTTCTGTATTAATTCAAACCCCATAGAAAGGGAATTCGGGTTCAGCTCTGAGGCTAAAAGGACTGACTTAACGTAAACATATCGGGCAGATAAAGGAACATCTTACTAGTAATTCAGACACAAATGAAACGATCCATTGATTGATAATCGCTGAATCCAACTATTTGTTAGAAAATAAATGGAGTGATCTGCAACGCTTCAAAGAAAAACACCTTCTATCCGGCTGGGAGACCCTTTTTTCTTCGTTTTTTTTGTTAAAAGCAGGCAATGGCTTCTTTTCTTCCTTCTTTTTTAGTAAAAATTGTAAAATAGTAGTCTGCTCCTATTTAACGCCCTCTCCATCTTTAAATGGGGTGCTTAAAATGTTTAGAGTATTACTCACATTCAACGAAATGAAAGTTTAAAATCCCTGAATATGCAAGAGACAGCCATCATCACAGTTCTCTCTTTCAACTATTTCGCTACTTAGAAAGTATTTATGAGACATGTAGTTCACTTTTTAAACATGTAAGAGATATTTATTGGTTAAGTGACGTTACTAAAACTATGAAATAGTTGTAAAAAAAAATCTCTTCCCCAAGATAGAATGTCGTATGTCCTTTAACCTTATCGATCTTTGATGTCTCATAAGTTCATATAAACATTGGACTAGAAGCCTGGAAAGTGGGTATTGTGTTTGGTTGATTCGTTACCTAATTGCTTACGCTCCAAAGTTGACCTTCCCTTGTAATTATTTTTCTTTGGGTTGATCCCAAAGCCCACATCGCAATTAACTAAAAAGATGCAAGTCCCCAACCAATCATACTCTCATGGAGGCCGAAGCCTTTTCGGCTTTGACATGCTGCAATCTGCGTTGTGTCAAATTGCATGTGGTGAGAATATTTTAGTAAAGGGGATGTTGAGATTTTAACCATGCATTCTGAATTTAAAATTATCTCATTCTCTATATTATTGTAATAATTTTAGAATCTTTCTCTTTCCTTAATAATGATAATAAAGTTTTTTAAAAAAAATTGCTCAAATTTCGTTATCAGGTTTAATTTGGATTTATATATTCGTTGAGTGTTAAGCTAATTTTCTGAATCTCTAAGCACCAGAAATATAGGCGTAGAAGCAAAGTAAATTGTCCTAGGATGGGATGGTTGGGTCTAATTAATTAAAATATTACAAAGGTAATATTCAAAGACGCGGAATGGAGGACAGGACAGGGGCAATTAATTGTGAAATTCCAACTTGCTTCTCCATTCCTTTTTGCTTGGTTGATTATTCCAGTAAAAGTATGACCAGTGGTACAAGGTAATTGCTCAACCATATAGAGATTATATAGTAAGTGAACCAAATTGATCATAATAGAAATGCTAAGAAAACTCTCTTAAAATAAAACTTATCACTTTACAATTTAACATTAATTTCCATATCAATTTCCTAAAGTATTGTATCAAAAACATAAAGTCGGAATAATCTCACTTTAAAATAGATCCTACTAATATATGATCATTTCTGATAGTACATTTACACAAGCCTAACCTTTTTGTCTTCTTTTGATAGATTAGGTAGATTTCTCTTCTTTTGATGGATTTGGTATATTTACACAAGCCTAACCTTTTTGTCCTCTTATGGCTCTAGGTCGTCTGGGCCTGTGCAAGTCAATCTTGATCAGCCTTCTCAACATCTGGAATATATGGCTGGCGGACATACAAATTTCAAATTAACATAGGGTAATTAAATATTATAATCCAAGCTTAATTAATCAACATAATGTTAATTAATTAGTAAAAATTATCTGTGACTGCATGAAAAGAAAAGTATGGGAGAATTTGTTGATTTATCCAATAGTAAAGATATTATGAACACATGTTTTATCAAGATTGTATATGAGATTTCGGAGATTTTGTGTGAAATTCATAAAAACGTTGACCCTCCTTAAGCTAGTTTTTTGGAAAGAAAAAAAAAGTAGGACAATGTATTATGTTAGAAAACAATAACTTAAATCAAAACAAATTTTATGTCTCACTGATTATAAATTGACATATGTCATTAAAAAGTAAATAAAAAGAGCTATAAACATAACTTTTAATAAATATTAAAAGTAGTTCAGTTTTAAACAAACAAACAAGAAAAAAAACCTTTAAAAACTCTTAACTTTAAATTTTATGGTGTAGTTACTGGCATTCTAAATTTTTAAGTTTAGAAAGAAAAAAATTATATAACATTATTACATATTAATATTAGATATAAAAATTTGTAGGGCCCTCTAGATTCGGGTAACTGTGCGATTGCACTTTTGGCTTCCGTAAGCCGCCTCTGTGGTTCATGAACACTTCCTACTTAGCACAACATCCACTGTGAGCTGTAACCTTCACCAGTAAATTGATTAATTTTCGATTACGCTCTCTCTCTCTCTCTCTCCCTCCCTATATATACTCACACACACACACACACACACACACACACACACCACCCACATCCATCCTCGACTCATCATGCGAACTACATCTTCTGTAGACATAGGAAACGAATCATCAACGTCGTCGTCGATCAGCATGAAGATTTTAATTAGCTTGAAACTTGTAGTTGGCTTGTTATTGTCTACTGTTGGCATCTTCCATTGCCAAGCTTCGCCTCCTCGTTACACTTTTGTGGTAATTAGCTCATTTCCTTTCGATGCAGTTCAGTTCTGAATTCTGATGCATATGTGTGAATTGCATGCATCATGCATGTTAGATATTAATGTTATAGAGATCATTTACTTTAATCATGTTTTATAAACCACATGAGATGATAGTTGATGGCTAGATTCCTTCTTTAAAGCACTAAAAGAATAATTCAATCATCAACCGTCACGTCATGTAGTCTATAAAATATGATTTATAAACATAATCTACTAGCATTTTTCGGCTATAATATATTAACTTAAAATGCATAATACACATCCATGGTGTGTATATATATAGGGGTGTGCGATCTACACACCCCTTTTACTTCTCACACACCCTTTGTTAATTTATATCTGTTGATCTTCTTCAATTCATCCGATCCGATGGCCGAAAATTAGAAAAGTGTGTGAAAAGTAAAAAGGGGTGTGTGGATATCACACCCCTATATATACACTTTATAACCGATGACTGTGTATGCTGATTTCAAAAATATTGATGAATTCATATCTTCTGTTTGTTTGCAATAATCAATTTTAGGTGGAAGAAACTCCATATACACGACTGTGTAGCACAAAGAACATCTTGACTGTAAACGGTCAGTTTCCAGGACCAACGTTCTATGCTCATGCCGGAGATAGTGTTGTAGTGGATGTCTATAACAAGGGCAATCGTAACATTACCCTACACTGGTAATTAATCAACTTTATCGCATGTAATCTCTTTAGAATTTTACTTAAATTTATGATATCCATCTATATTTCAGGCATGGAGTTAAGCAACTGCGGAATCCATGGTCGGACGGTCCTGACTACATCACGCAATGTCCTATTCAACCAGGAGCCAAGTTTACCCAAACTATTATATTTTCCTCAGCGGTAGGGACTCTATGGTGGCATGCTCACAGCGAGTGGGATCGAGCCACAGTCCATGGTGCTATAGTCATATACCCCAAGAAGGGAGCTACTTACCCTTTTCCCAAGCCTTACGCAGAATTTCCAATCATCTTGGGTATGCAAATCAATTCAAACTTCAATCCCATAAACGCTTATATAATAGCTTAAAGCGCTTTCAAATAACATAAAAACACTTGTGATAACATTGTCATGTAAAGTCAAAAGGTTTTTTCGGGCATTTTTTACTTGAATTTCCATTGAAATTTCGATGTGTTCTAATGGAAGGATTTCTCGTAAAAGAGCTTATGAGCATAAGTGATTTCTATATAAACATTTCCAAATTACGATCCTAATTTTTCTGCAAATCATTGATTCAAAAATTGTAGGAGAGTGGTGGAAGGAAGATATCGGACAACTTTACAATGAAACGATTCAAAGTGGAGGGGACCCTAATACTTCAAATGCTTTCCTCATCAATGGTCAACCCGGCGATCTCTATCCTTGCTCAAAACCAGACACATTCAAGCTCATAGTTGATTACGGCAAAACCTACCTACTCAGACTAATCAACGCCGCCGTGCAAGAGATGATGTTTTTCGCCATTGCCAATCACAACGTCACAGTTGTAGGCTCAGATGCTAGCTACACCAAGCCATTTTCAACAGATTATGTGACCATATCTCCCGGCCAAACCATTGACCTCTTGTTAAATGCCGACCAAATCCCCAACAACTACTACATTGCTGCCAAAGCCTACGTTGGCGGGGCTGGGATTGCCTACGACAACACAACCACAACCGCCATACTGCGATACCATGGAAATTCTAATTCATCCCCTACTTCTTTGCCTAATATTCCTTCCCATAACAACACCAACGCATCAGTTTTCTTTACCAGTAAACTCAAAAGCTTGGCTGATAAAAAACACCCCATTGACGTGCCACACAAGATAACAACTCATTTGTTCTATACACTCTCCATCAACACACTGCCCTGCCCGAATAATTCATGTGCTGGGCCTAATGGAACACGTTTAGCTTCCAGTGTCAACAACATTAGCTTTGTCAACCCCACCATTGACATATTGCAAGCTTACTATTACCATGTCAATGGGGTATTTGGAACTCGCTTTCCAGATTCCCCACCCTTGCTGTTTAATTTTACAGCTCAGGACTTGCCTTTGTACCTACAGACGCCGAAGCAAGGGACGGAGGTGAAGATACTGGAGTACAACTCAACGGTGGAGATTGTGTTTCAGGGGACAAATTTGGTGGCAGGAGATGACCATCCGATGCATCTCCATGGATTCAGTTTCTACGTTGTGGGATGGGGGCTCGGGAATTTTGACAAGGACAAGGACCCTTTGACGTATAATCTTGTCGATCCTCCTCTTCAGAATACCATCGCTATCCCTGTAAATGGTTGGACTACTATTAGATTCAAGGCAGACAATCCTGGTACGTAATTAATAAAGATGCTCATCATCTCTAATTAAATATATTATCTAAGGGGCTGTTTTATAATAACCATATCAGTTTTCCGTTTCCAATTTTAGTTAACCCCCCTAATTGGTTATATTAATGAATGATAATTAGTTCATGATAAATTGTTCTTGTTCTTGTTATATGTAGGCGTTTGGTTTCTGCACTGTCATCTGGATCGACATATGTCATGGGGCATGGACGTAACGTTCATAGTGAAAAATGGAAAGGGCCTACAAGCGCAGATTTTACCTCCGCCACAAGGAATGCCTCCATGCTAACAATTTTTATAAAGCTTTCAAGCTGGTTCTATGTTCATGGCAATAAATTGGGACAGCATGTAATTCGTCTTTTCTAATACCATTTATACTATCAACTATTTCGACTGGCCGTGGCCAGGATATGTATGTCTTAAAAATTCACCTGGCTTTGTATTGTCACCAATTTGGTGGCCGTCACGACTCAAGATTAACACGTGGAAAAGTTTCCATCAAAGAAATATGATGATCAATGCGCATTGTATTAGTACTAAAATTATTGGCCTTATTTTAAACATTGGTTCAACTGCAATGGATTTAAAACAACTCATAAGAATTTTCTAGTTCTATACTATGAAGTTTTAACCGTTAGATTATTGGTCAAAAATATACTATTAGTCAAGGCTTCCCTTCCTCTACATTGGATTCTCTCTCAATAATTGTCGACGTGAACTAGCCGACTTAGGGATAACTAGTGTGTTTTGGCTTTGATACCAAAATGGCCCAGAGACGTGTCAAAGTAATTACACAATTTTAATCTTGTTATAATTTATTATTAAGTTTATAAACAGGTAGCGAACATATATAAAGATAACAACACAATAATTATGAATTGAAATAAACAAAGATGAAGTAAAGGATATGTAAATACAGCAATAAAAAATGATAAAATAAGCATAAAGTAAGGAAGCATACTCACATTAATTTATTAAGGGAAAATTAGGTTTACATCCTTCTTTTTGTTACCCATTGATTAAAATCCTATTCATTTTGAATTTTTGATCAAGATCCTTGGGTATTAATAACATCATTAATTATTTAAATAATAAAATATTTTTATTTTTAAATATATTCCTTTAGTGTTAAAAATGTTACAATTAGTATATTTATATTTATGGCTAAATTTTTTGTCATATATTTTTATTTTTAGTTTGTACCTATTTTTAATTTGCAAATATTTTTTAATTTGTACCAATTTTCTTTTCATTTTTAATTTGTACCAATTTTCTTTTCATTTTTAATTTGTACCCATATATTAGTTTCTTTTTGTGCCCATATTTTTTAAAAGTTTTATTTGTGTTTGTACCCATGTATATACCGTCAAGTGACATTGTATATTTAATCAATGATAGAAAAATTACATATGGTTTATTTATGTTTTATGCCTAAACTTTGTATCATATATTTATATTTTTAGTTTGTACCCACTTTTAATTTGCAACATTTTTTTTTTAATTTGTAGTATTTTCTTTTTAGTTTTATTTTGTACCCATGTATTAATTTCTTTTAGCGCTTATATTTTTAAAAATTCATTTGTACTCATAATTTTTAATCTTTTATTTGTACCCTAATTTGTTTATAATGTACCCATTCTTCTTTATTAATGTACCACTTTGTTATATGTGAAATGTACCAATTTTTTTAACACTATGGATACATTCTTTTGCCATTTATTATTTCTTATTTTTACATAGTTTTTATCCATTTATTCAATCAAAATATTTGAATTATTTTATTGTAACCGTTTCTAATTGTATTATAATGAGGGATTTTAAATTTATAGGATTATAAATCTCATAAAATATCAAACAATTAATGTCAAAACTATAAAAATATAAATATTAATAGTAATATAATAAGGTGTACAAAGTCAAGGGATCTTGATCAAACTTTGAATACTATTAAGGTTTTAATCAAATAATGTTTAAAGATTAAGGACCACATTCAAAGTATCCCATTTATTAATCTTCAACTTCAATGTTACAATATAGCATCAAAATTGAAAAGAAAAACATCACTCAAACACTCAGAAGTTCTCTCTCTCTCTCTCTCTCTCTAAATATATATATCCAGACGTAAAGATATATATATATATATATATGTGTGTGTGTGTGTGTATCTAGACGTAAAGATCTAGCTATATATATATATATATATATATATATATCTCTGTGTGTGTGTGTGTATCTAGACGTAAAGATCCAGCTATATTCTAGCTATATATATATAGCTAGACGTAATGATCATATATGATTAATCATTGACATCGTGATTAAGAAATTTAATATATACTAAAACTCAAAACTAACTGATTTACTGTTCATAAATACAGTGTGCTTCCTATTTTGTCGCAGCTAAGTTTGTTTTATTACGTTTCTGCCACGTCTGAGAAAATATATATACAATTTATTTTTTCTTTTTCTTCTTCTCTCTTCCCTCTCGCTGCCCCGTTGCGACTCACCGTTTGAACGAGAAACCCAAAAATCATCAATTTCATCTCCTTCTCCAAATCAACACAACCATACCTTCCAAAAATCTTAATCCGCACCCGAACCCACGAACCCAGTTTGGGTTTGACGTTCCCGGCGACTTTCATAAGTTTTCCGGTGGCGGCCGGCCCTGCAACCACATCTATTCGACTCAGGAGAGTCCCAACAACAACATTCGAGTTTTGCATGCTCGAATCTGCCCCAAGAACGAGGAGTTCCATAAACCAGCTAGCGGTGGCGGTGGGTTTTTCCGACGAAGATCTTAGTTTTCTCTGACGGGTTTCAGGCCTTTCCAACCTTTTTTGGGTCCGGCGAAGGTGATATTCTTACTCTACATCCTAAAATTAGCTTAGGTTGTGAATTTGGTATGAAATGGTTGAGTTTTAAAGCTAATCGGAATCTCTGTGTTTTCCGGTAATTAGCACCCCCTGGGTATGGCATAAGTTGCTTTTCTTTTCTGTTCTGGCAAATTAGCATGGGAGTCCGATTTCTGCATTGCATGGATATGTGCATTTCTTGAGTTTTTTTGTTTTGTGTGTTGGATTAGTTATTGTTGTTATATTTAAGAATTTGAATCTGTTCATAGTTATTGATTTCGTATTATTATAGCATGATGCATGAATTGTGGTTTTGTGAAATTTTCTGAATAGTTTGTTCTGCTGCTGGGCTTTGAGTATCAATTCATTGGGGATTCTGAAATCAATTAACTGAGGAACGAAGAAGTAAAAAGGGCAAGGGAGCTGTTGAGATGGTTCTCTTATGATGTATTCTGATGGTATCCCTCCTCAATTCAAAGTAAAAGATCTTAGATTTGAATTCATGGATGGCGAATTCGATACCAAATTAGACTGCTTATTATGTGGGTTAGCCAAACTCGGTCTTACTTTAGTATAAAAATATTGATGTAGCAAAAAAAAATAATAATAATGATGTATCTGATTTTATTTTGGTGGGTCATGAATTCAATTTCTACATGGGCTCATGAGAAGTAATCTCTCATGACGGTTTGGAAATGATAATTTGTTGAGAAACTTTTTTTTTATTCTGGTTGGACAAAATAGGCTGATTATCTGCAAATTTCATGAGGTTTTCAATAGGGCTGTTTACCAACACTTTTGCATGTAAATAGTATGTACGTACACATTAAGTAATTGTACTTTTTCAATCCCGCAGCATCACGCGCGGGCAATGGTTGCTAGTACAATCTAAAACCTTTGAAAGACTCTTTGATTTCTCAATTTTTGACAAGCCATGTTTTCTCCTCTGGTTCGAAAACTGAAAGCCAACAAATCAACAACCAAATTCGGTAAAGTAACAAACCTCAACGAAAAATCAAATATTTGGCTTCTGGGTAGTCGAGAAGAAGTAAGATTTAATTACTTGTGGAAGGTTAGAGAAATTGGGAGCAGCATGAGTGAGGACATCGAGAGGCGGAGATAAAAAAGATGAGGAAGCAGAGATCGAAGGGATCACAAAGCAGAGATAGAAGAGATTGCGAGGCGGAGTGTAGGACGCATGATCGAAATCGCCAATCCGTTTCACAACAGCCGAGATAATGAGGAATAAAGATATGAAACAGAGGGTAAATATAATTGTAAATAATTTGAACAATTAACATTAAAAAGCACATAACACCAATTGAAAGCAAAGAAACACCATTGATCAAATTTTTACCTCTTTTCTTCTGCCTTTGTATCAATTGTGAACAAAAATTATTTGGCTTCAGCCAGGACAGAGGGTTGAAATTTTTCGGATACCTATACACCAAAGAAATTTGTTACAATACACTGACACAACAAACAATCATTCATTAAACCTAATTAACAAATATGTACCCATTATCTTTATTCAACCATACAGTTTACCTCATCACTTGTTCTTTACTGCCCTCTAACTAATAAAGACTAATTATACATGCATTTGACGAACAATACTTAAAGTAAAAGCAAGAAGAAAGGTATTCACAATACGTCACATTTACAGACCAACAAATAGTATTAAGGATGGTTTATACATATTTTTTGCAACTATATAAAATGATTTGGTCTGGCTAGGTCAAATTCAATAATTGTTGCATTAGCAAATGATTAGATGCGTAGCGTAGGAGGGCAATTCCGTCATTTAACTGTGCAACAAATAGAAAAAACGCATGTTGGAAAACCAAACGAAGGGCATTTTAGTCCGTTCACTTCGAGTGAACACTGAACGCAGGTTTAGGTTTTAGTATAGGAATAATGTGGGCCGCCACACAACCTCCTCAATTCTATTGCCGCTTCTTCCCTCGCAGGCCTTTCGGCACTACTCAACTTGATGCAACTCCTTGCAAGCTCCGCAACTGCTCTGAGTTGCTCTCTGTTTCCCTCGTTTACAAGTTGTGCCACAACGATCTGAAAGATGTCATTTTGTTCTACAGAAGAAACGAAATGGGACGTTATGATTCTTTGATTTTCTGGTCTGTTAAAAGGCCAACGGCATCTCCCCAGTTTGAAGCCCCAGCAATACGATTCCAAAGCTATAAACATTGCTCTTATCTGTCAACTGGCCTGTACAGATATATTCCGGGTCTAGGTAACCAAGTGTTTGCTGCACCATGTGTTCATCTGGATTCATTACTAGGGAACCGGACCAACCTCGAAGGACCAAAACCAGAGGCATTGGCACAAAACAATCAGTTAAAAGTATGTTGGAAGAGTTGACATTTCCATGAATCATAATTGGTTTCAACGAGTCAACTGCAGAATGCATATAAGCAAGAGCAGCTGCAGATTCTGAGGCTACCTTTAAAAGGACATGCATGCCAAGGCAATGCACTCTTCCCATCAGCGTGATGAATGTAGTCGGACAAGGTCCCATTGCAAGGGCAAGAGGGACGATCTCATTTACGCACATGCCTAGAATGAGCTTTACTGGAAAGACTTTTATGTGTTTGATGTAGCATCTACCAGTTTTCCTATGGTAATAATTATATGCCTGGTTTGTCTTTGAAATGTCATCATAACTGCAGCGTCTGAGTTCTGTGGATTTGTTGGCCAGTATACGCCCGCAGTTCTGTCAGAAGTGTTACAGTTCGGAAGCTGGGCTTAGAGTTCAGAAGCTAAGAGTATTGGGAGACTAAATTTGTAGATAAAATTTACAAACTAAATGATGTGTCATAAATAGAAAATGAACACGTTTATCAACGGTTAAATAATAAAGGAAAACTAATGAAAATGATTTGAAAACTTTGAGTTTTAAAAATAAGGACAAAATAAAAAGTAAAGTGAATAGTACCATATTTGACTTTTTAGTGTAAAAATATATTTTTTCGTTAAATTGAATAGTACCACGAGTTTTTGGTTAAAACTCCCAAATAATAATCCATTATCAAATTCCATATTATTTTACTAAAAATATAACTTTAGCCCTTGAAACTAAAGTTTTTTTACATAAAATCCGATATAATCTTTTTATTTAAATAAAACCCAATAATTAGGCTCTACATAAGCAAATTCATTAATTTTGTTTGCCTTTACACCTTTTGCATTTTTTAGATGCCTAAAATACCCCTAATAATGTTATACTTTCCTTAAGATTTCGTCATTGTTTTTAAAATTTGCATAAAATTAGACAATTTTAATTTAATCTTGTCATTTTCTTACCAAATGAAAATCTGAAAGAGCATTATAAGATAATCTATATTTAAAAAATATAAATAAATTATTTGGACATGTGTCATAGTAATAAATTTGCCTTGTGTATGTAATGATACATGCAAAATAATTTATTTATAAAATAAAAATGTTTTTTGATTCAAAATAAATTTATCTATATTTTATATAATAATATAGGTAAATTATTGCACACATATATATTAGTAGTAAAATGTGCCCAATATATATAATAATGCATGAAAATAATTCACCTACAAATAAAGGAAATTTGATTAAAAAATAATATATCTATTACTTTTTGTTTATGAATTTCAATTTCTTTTTTTTTATTACAAACATAATATACCTATAATATAATTTACATATTGTTTAATCTTATAAGAAAATAATGTATCTACGGTTTTATTTTAATGGAGATAATTTGTCTTGGTTTAATTTTTATGAAATAATTTAGGCATTGTTTAACTTTACTAAAATAATGGAACTACTATTTTAATTTACCTACAAAATAAATGCTATTTGATTCAAAATTAATTTACTTATATCTTACATATAGATATAGATAAATTATTTTTAACATGCATATATAATAACAAACAAAAAATGCCTAATGTATGTAATAATCTAGGTAAAATAATTTACCTACAACATAAATAATATTAATTGGTTCTTTATTGTTTTTATCAAACAATATTATTTGATGCAAAATAACTGATTGTACAAAGGAGTTTTTTTTTTTTTCCATACGAAAAATGTGCCCATAATTGTTTATGAACATGGCTAAATTAATATATATATATATATATATATATATGTTCCTAATATTTATCACACAAGAAATGTAAAATTTTCATATGAGGTTAATTGCTAATCATAATTAGGGTGAGTAATAATATTTATTGGCATAATTAGGGTTTTGTGGCATAAGTTGTAAATATGTGATAATAATTAGTTACATATTTGTCTACATGGTATTCTATTTGAAATTTGGATTTTATTTGGATGTTATTTGAATGTTTAATATTAGGTGGGTTTTTGTTTGGAAAATAGGAGTCTCAAGGGTCTTTTTCTAAAGAATCCGTATAGTTTAGGAAGTGTTAACAGTTCGGAAGCTGGGCTTAAAGTTGGCTTCTGATAATGGTGCCAACAAAAACAATGATATTAAGCTAAACAAAGAGAGTTTGTGCAGGAGATGATGTCCTAGTTTCAGAATCATCCCTTCCATCTCCATTTTTATCTTCCCTTTTATTTTTCCTAACTTACTCTTTTCTATTTTTTTAAATTTGACGTGGGATGCTCTTTCTCTCAAAGTTCTGAGAGACCAACTCCTTAATTATTATCTCCATCCATGTGTTCACTTGCGCTCCTCCTTCCGGTTTCTTCCCTTCACGCGGCTTCAAATCTCTAGCTTTTTTATTCGGAGGTCAACGGTTAAGCTTAGTCTAATATATATATATATATATATATAAATGCACGTCATGAATCTTCCTTGGTGCAGAGAATATAATATATATATATATATATATAAATGCACGTCATGAATCTTCCTTGGTGCAGAGAATATAATATATATATATATATGCACGTCAATAATCTTCCTTGGTGCAGAGAATAATATATATATATATATATAAATGCACGTCAGGAATCTTCCTTGGTGCAGAGAATATAATATTTTCAAGCAGTTTTATCACTAACAAACTACAACATATCATGTATTATTAATTTAAATTGTTAATTTATATTTCAGTTTTGAGGTTATTTCTGTTTTCTGATCGACTTATTTTGACACTTGTTGGCCTCGTTGTACATAATGGTTTATCTGTGTGGACTGCATTCAGAGGATAACTTTTTACGCCTCTCACATATATCCCAAAGGAAATGTTGTTGCGGACAATTTTGTTAACATGTGCTTGTCTCCAACTTTGGTATGGTATCATTCCCCTCCACCGGCAGCCCGTGCTACTTTATTTTCAGACTAAATTGGCTTGCATGACTTCCACTTCTCAAATTAACGTGCATCTCGACATACAAGTTTATCTCAATTTTTTTTTTTTCTAACCTTGTGGTATTGTTTGACTTGTTTTGCATGTTTAGACCTTTTAGAGTTGACTTTAGAGGGTTATGTTTCATGTCTCCACCTATTTTTCTTGTATTTTCTTTGTTTTCATTAAAGTTTATGTCCTCCGTTTATTTTACATACTTTTTCTCCTCTTTTTTTTCTTGTTTGATGAGGACTAAAGTTTATGTTTTCCTGACTAGATATAACTTCTTTATTCATTATCAATAAAATTTCTTTTACTGCCAAAGTTTTATAAAAAACAAATCAAAACCTATAATGTAGTTTAACAATACAGGAAAGAACCAACTAATAATAAAAGGTTGTATCAAT